GTCGTGTGACTCACGTTCAGAAACAGAAAGTAAACAGAATCCCATGCTTTAGAGAGAAATACGTCCTCTACATACAATGTGAACTTTGTTTATGCAAATCATTTGTGAATATATAATCATTGTGGACACACAATCTACGCCTACAAGAATACAATCCGACAGACAAATTCATCCAATCATTCATTCATTCATTCATTAGTGCATTCATTCGTGCATTCATTTATTCATTCATTCTCCTGTATAAGGAGGATGTGTATTACCATGGTGACAGAATTTTTGTATATGTGAATCAGGACGTATGAGCGAACCACTGTGTGCGAACCAGTTTCCTGATATGCCCTTGCCTCTCAGGTGAAGGATTTATGAGCTCATTATGATCTCGTGTAGGATTATGTGAATCGTTTGTAAAGGCAGATAACGAATCTGTCAGTTTTCCTGCGTTCAGTAGTATGGGAACAAAGACTGAACAGCCTGGCTGTCGCAGCGGCTATAAGACTGTTCTCACCAGAGAAAACTAGTTGAACGAATATATCAATACATTTGATGACTATTTCGAGAATTCAGTTGTCCGGCTGTCTAGACGTCTTTTGATTGACTCTGTTTTGAGTTTTACTTATGCCTCTCCTAAAAGTTCATACATTCTCATATGAACAGATGTAATATGACCTTAATACTATTCTAAGTCTTCTACAATATCTTTATGATTGATGGCTACCCCTCTAATCATGTCCTACCAAAATGTAACCTTGTCCTATGGGTGTCCACATTGACTTATGGCAAGTAGCCTAATGAACTGTTGAACATTTGGTGATCGTGTAACGTAGGTGGACAGTCTGTCGGTGAGCAGGGTCAGTTGGCAGGTGTGACCACACTGGACAAGTCTCGTTGATCTGCATTGCCTTCGCCCTTCCCATATGACTCTGGCATCACATATGATGGGCCTAAGTACGTTTCCATTACATTGGTTGTTTAACGTAACGTTTCCTTTTACAACAGTCTGCACACACTCATCCGCTGAAAACCGATTTGGGTGAGTTTGCGTGTAAATCCGATCTATACACAGCGTCACTGAATCAACATATTACATTAACAGGAAGTTTCTAGCAATGTTGATACACATAATAATAATAACAGAATCCACAGTGTATAACACAGTTGTGTCCATTTTTCACAGCGTTGATCAAATAGTATAACACTTGAAAAAGACAAATTTGATCAGAGCACAACAACCTGCTGCCTCACCGGCGCACAGCATCACATCCAACATGCTAACAATAAATCTAAAGGACATGATGGCATATCTGATTTCGTGATGTGGGCGTGGTGGGCGAGCTGTCTGAGGCATCAGGCGAGTGCTCCAGTGTTGTTACAATCCCTAGTGTACAGTACACAAGGAATACGTTAGTAAATGACCAGATAATGGCCTCAAGAATACGTAAAAACACCTATAACGAGCAGTAAACGTGGACAAAGTACAATGACTGTGTGTCCCAGTCCACCCAGCTGTGAATGGGTACCTGGTAAGGATGGGAAAGCCATATTAACTCGGTGCGCTTAGTGGCTGGTCCCGAGGGTGTTGAGATTGATAATACGATGTACCGTTTGAGATTGACATCCAATGATCGAGGGAAAAACAAAGCGCCTTTGAGCAGGATATTGACGCTATACAAATATTAGCATAATAATTTCCTTTAAAGCACCAAAGTGTTTCATACTTTCTCTTTCACATTGATACTTAATACAATATTTCAAGACGGAATATTTTCTGTTATCTGGGGATAATATCTGTAGGTATAATGTGAAGGATGACCCCACTAATAGAGGGATATCGTATACTCTGTGCAAGATATTTACTTCCATGTTAAATGTCGGATACGAAATTGATGTGATCAAAATACTTTCATTCCTGTGACATAATCTGGATTCAAATTAACCAAGGCTGAGTCATATATTTTCACTCCAAGCAATGGTTCAGAATATGCCTGTGAAAAGAATAGGGGATACTGCCGTTCATTATTTTTATTAGTAATAATATGTTACCATTAACCATAGCAAAGGAACTTATCCAAACCTCAACTTATCGAACTGCACTCTTCAAAAAAAGAAACGCATAGGCGTTTTCTGCAGTTCATTTCAATATACATATGTATATTTTGACAGCAATTCCTGTTTGAATCCCGTTAATTATGTCGTGGTTGTTGTGTATTGCTCGCAAACGCATCCCAAAATGTTTGTAAACGTTTGTCATAAAACATTAAAACATACATGAAAACTGCATGCAGAAAAAAGTGTCCACGTAATGCACGCGCAATGTTTCGGACACATGAGTAGAGACCAAACCATCAGAAATCGTCTAATACATTTCCTTATTTTTGGCATGTGCTTTTCTTTGTTTTAAGAGTGTATCTGGATAAACTGACTAGACATTTACATCATGCATGATGCATGATTAAAGGGCAATTCAAAAAGGACGAAAGCTATAGTTTGTTCACAGAAGCAAACATGACAAAAAGGTGACTCATTTGAAATGCTGATAACTCTGGGCTTATGATGTTTTCAAGCTTCTGGTATACTGACTGACTGACTGACTGAGTTTGGTTTTACGCCGCTTTTAGCAATATTCCAGCAACATCACGGCGGAGGACACCAGAAATGGGCTTCACACATTGTGCCCATGTGGGGATTCGAACCCGGGTCTTCGGCGTGACGAGCCAACGCTTTAACCACTAGGCTATCCCACCGCCCCGCTTCTGGTATACAGTCCTTAAGAAATCACTTAAGTATCAATAACCGAGCACAATGTCAATATCTGGTGTAGCCTCCGCCAAATGGAATAGCATCCCTGGCCCTCCTCCTCTTTGACTGTATCAAACCTTTAACTTGACGTTGAGGTATTGCGTTCATTTCTTGATGGAGAGCTTGTTCTAATACTTCAGCATTTGGTGGTGGATGATTTCTCTGCGACCCATAATGTCCCAAATATTCTCTAGGGGATTAAAACCTTGACTCCTGGTGGGCAAAGTTAGAAAGTACTGCCTCTTGATGTAACAAGTCACCAATGGAACGTGCACGATGTGGTCTTGTGTTCAGAAGATGGTCATGGAAATGAGCTACAACGGTTGTGTCTAGTATGTCCGTGATGTACCGTTGTCCATACAGATTTTGTCTGATCGTCACAAGGTCACGTGAGAGGCACCTCCCACCCATGCCAAACGGTACTTGCTCCAAGATTTCCGTTGTGCATAAGCAGTGTTTCTGCAGCGCCGGCTCGGTCATCAATCATGAACAAGTATATCCTTCCCCATTACGTCAAATTCCAGTGACGCAGAGCCACGCTTCTAGTGCTACTTTGGGCATTTAGGAAAACCTCTGACGCCTGATAGCTGGTCTGGCTCTATACGTGGCCGATTTTAGGCAATTCTGGACCGCTCTGTTGGAGAAACGCCGATATGGAAGTCATTCTGTTCTGAACAGATGAATTCTGGTATTCTGAGAAGGGTTGTATCCTGCCTGAAGGGTTGTATCAAGTTTCTGCCTGTCATGGATGACCAGAAACTTGATACATTGCTTAATTAAAGACGGGTACGCACATCGCACATGACGTTCGCCCTTGTTTAAGCACGAGCATACCTAAAATCATGGGGCGACGAGGGGTCAAAAGAATTATACAAGCAAACGTACGTGGACATGGGGCGGTGGTGTAGCCTAGTGGTTAGAGCGTTCGCTACGTCACGCCGAAAACTCGGGTTCGAGTCCCCACATGGGTACAATGTGTGAAGCCCATTTCTGGTGTCCTCCGCTGTCATATTGCTGGAATATTGCGGCGTAAAACTAAATTCACTCACTCTTCGGATATGGTGGTAAATCAAAGGAACCATCCATCCAAGGTAGCTGGGTCTGCTTCTAAACTTTCATGAGCGTTTCTTATTAAGAGTTAGAGCCTTGCGTATACCTTTTTCATACCCAGGTCATCCCTCAGGCTGTTCTCAGCTCACCAATGAAATCAATATCCCCTATAACCGGCTATGTCACTTGTAGTGAGTCGGTCGTCGATATAGCCTTCTTGATCAACATTTTCCTCGGTGATGGCAGCTAAAGGTCTTACTGATCTTCTCCTATTAAACTGTATGAATGCCAGCCTGCACGAATGCCCCGTGTAGGCATAACCAGTTGTTTGTAATTGCGTCCGTTTAGTTGGAGGTACTTGGAGCAAGCGCGGCAACCAATCTTGTCCATTTACAGAGAATTCCTAGTCACGTTGACGTCTGCAAATATATGCTGTTTCGTTGTGTATTTTCTTTAAAATAAAGCACTTAAGTACGGAAAATGTTGTAATTATTACATACAAACTGTGTTATGGGTGTACTATACATTCTTCAAAGATAATGAAATGCTCTAACCTGTAAGCAGGTGGGTAAATTAAAATATTTGTTGTCGTAAATGTTATCAGTTAGTTTTCACCTGAGTATCGATCACAGTCGCCAAAGGTTTTCCTTCCCATTTGTTTGATGGTTTTATCACCTTTCAGCTACCCAGCGGAAGTAAACTGAAGTACACGTCTACCAATCACCGGCATCCCCGAGTCTACCTCTGGTGCTTAGATTCCATGGATGTGTGATTCGTACCCCCAATCGTTGTATCCTTATCCGCCTAGAGGACTGTAAATCCAGTTTTTAAAAAACGTTACAAGCAAACCTGTAACGAATAGCCTCCGAACCAGAAAATCGCTATGTACACACAAAAAAATGAAGCGTCAAACAGAACAGGCAGCAACACAGTTACGGTAATGCCTATGTGTTGCCACAGCTCGTGTATCCATCCAATACTCGTACAGTGCATATCACTTGAGGTCAGTTCTGTCTTTATGAGCTGGCGCTGACGACACACATGGTTCTGAGATTTCGTGAGGGAACCGTAACCAAAGGATGGCAGATTCGATGGACGAATAATCCTTCCTTTCAGAATCAAATTCATCGAAATTCAAATTCAAAACGTGCACAAACGTGGAGAAATGTGATTTATTCAAGCTGTTTATATACATATTGTGGGAAAATGACTGCTCAAGGGTAGGCAGGGGATAAACTAGAAGATGCACGGTACAGCGTTAGATACTGATAGTGTGGACTGTAGGCTATAGAAACACTTCGAGTCATAGGACACCTCGTACTTGCAGAAGGCGTTAGATACTGATAGTGTGGACTGTAGGCTATAGAAACACTTCGAGTCATAGGACACCTCGTACTTGCAGAAGGCGTTAGATACCAAGGGGGTTGACTGCAGGTTATAAATACACTTCGAGTCATAGGACACCTCGTACTTGCAGAAGGCGTTAGATACCAAGAGGGTTGACTGCAGGTTATAAATACACTTCGAGTCATAGGACACCTCGTACTTGCAGAAGGCGTTAGATACCAAGGGGGTTGATTGCAGGGTATAAATACACTTCGAGTCATAGGACACCTCGTACTTGCAGAAGGCGTTAGATACCAAGGGGGTTGACTGCAGGTTATAAATACACTTCGAGTCATAGGACACCTCGTACTTGCAGAAGGCTTTAGATACCAAGGGGGTTGACTGCAGGTTATAAATACACTTCGAGTCATAGGACACCTCGTACTTGTAGAAGGCGTTAGATACCAAGGGGGTTGACTGCAGGGTATAAATACACTTCGAGTCATAGGACACCTCGTACTTGCAGAAGGCGTTAGATACCAAGGGGGTTGACTGCAGGTTATAAATACACTTTGAGTCATAGGACACCTCGTACTTGCAGAAGGCGTTAGATACCAAGGGGGTTGACTGCAGGTTATAAATACACTTCGAGTCATAGGACACCTCGTACTTGCAGAAGGCTTTAGATACCAAGGGGGTTGACTGCAGGTTATAAATACACTTCGAGTCATAGGACACCTCGTACTTGTAGAAGGCGTTAGATACCAAGGGGGTTGACTGCAGGGTATAAATACACTTCGAGTCATAGGACACCTCGTACTTGCAGAAGGCGTTAGATACCAAGGGGGTTGACTGCAGGTTATAAATACACTTTGAGTCATAGGACACCTCGTACTTGCAGAAGGCGTTAGATACCAAGGGGGTTGACTGCAGGTTATAAATACACTTTGAGTCATAGGACACCTCGTACTTGCAGAAGGCGTTAGATACCAAGGGGGTTGACTGCAGGTTATAAATACACTTTGAGTCATAGGACACCTCGTACTTGCAGAAGGCGTTAGATACCAAAGGGGTTGACTGCAGGGTATAAATACACTTCAAGTTATAGGATAGGACACCTCGTACCTACGCATGGTGACAAATACCAAACAATAGGCCGAGAAATCAAGAATTACAGGTAGAGAGGTACATTTCATTGGGGAGCTAACCAAAGCAATGGAGCAACTAAATCAACTACATTGAGAGATTAAAAGTAACAAGTTTGTAAGACATACAAAAGTGGATAGAAAATCACCGGGTATGGACAATCAGTATAGTGTTACGTAACTAGTCACATGAAGGTTGCAGCTTTCCGATGCGTAAGGTACCATTTGATGACAACCAACTGCATACACTGATACTGCTATCATTTATGCAAAACAGAGTTAGTTTCATACGTCCGAACAAGAGTTTAACCCGTGTCAGACGGAGTTTGTAAAGTAAGCTCAAGAATTAGGCAAACTCAACTGAGCGATTTAACAGCAGACACCCATCCAGCCATTTGCTCTGCAGCAATTCACACGAGCTGACGTTGAATCTGTACAGCAGACGACACGACCCTGTGAAGAGCTAATCTGAGGTTGAGGTTGTGAAGCTCCGCAACAAGAAGGGGTCGAACTTACGTAGGTAGCGGATGAGCAGCACGCGGCGCGGGCAGGCTGGCCCCTGAGCAACAGGTTGTAACCTGGACCTGGGGCTGGGGCTGGGCTGCAGAAGAACAACAAGCTGGTCTCTGTGCCTCGGGGACTCGAAGGGGTTGGGCGGATGAACCACAGCTACTGCAAACCCTTCGTGCGATGAGAGCAAGGCGGTCGGCTTCATGCTGAGCGGCCATAGCAGCTTGCTGTTGGACTTGGAGTTCGGCAGCTTGTTCGGCCTTCAAACAGAATCAATATAGGTCAAAATAGCCAGTCTGTTATATATTCCTAGTTCTAATTATGTGCTTCGATGATAGTTTTTAAAGTATTATACAACTGTAAACTTGATCAAGTCACAATTCGGTTGAATACTGCCAACGTGACTTAAACTAAACTCACTCACTCACTCAAATCGCGGACGCACGCACAGTACTTCATAAATTGGAAAATTAAAAGTTGGTTCAACTAATAACTTGAAAACTATCGGCTGAAAAACAGCTTCTTTGTCTAGAGGAGAAGCGCAGTGCAATTTAGATTATGATATTTTTTTTAAGAATTACAGGAATTTAAACGTTTGAATTTAGAAAGAATTGTTCAACCAATAACTTGAAAAGTATTGGTCAAATAGTTTTCATTTGGAAAACATCTTTGTATCAAGAAGAGGTGCAGCGCAACGTTCATAAACGTTGTTTTAAGTTTTGTTCAAGCAATAACTTGAACACATTTGAATGGATTGTTTTCAAATTTGGGGATCACAAAGTGCAGTGAACAGTTATATTTTTTTTTATGTTTTATTTTGTCGAGTATTATCATAATTAGATCTTTTGAAATCGGGGGAAGACATCTTCACCACTTTTTTTCAACCAATAACTTTACAATCATTCAATGCTTTCAGATTTGGGTAATGACTTCTTTGTTTATAGGAAAGGTGCAGTGCTAAGTTTGATAGAGATCTTGTATTTTTGTCAAGAATAATCATTAATTGTTGTACAGCTGACGTTGGGAGTTAGGGTCAGGGGCCTGTTGATATTTGTTTCTATATATCTACCTGAAGCCTTGCAAGGTTGTCCCGCTCCGCCTGGGCTCTGGCCTCTGCACCTCGAGCTGCCTCCTGTTGGAGCTGAAGCTCAGCAAGACGAGCTGCCTCAGTTTCTGCGGCAACCTGAGCCAAGCGAAGAGCTTCGTGCTGAGCAGCAAGCTCTGCCTCTCTCTGAACTCTGAGAGCAGCCAATCGAGCCTCTGTCGCCCTCATTTCTCGTTCTCGGGCAACTTCAAGAGCGGCAAGACGAGCAGCTTCCCGAGCTTCAGCCTGACGCGCCGCAACCTCCCTCAGAACGGCAATTCTTTCGGCCTCACGTTGTTCAGCCACCCTTTGGGCCCGAATAGCGGCGAGTCGAGCAGCGTCCATGGCAGCTTGCCGAGCCTCAGCTTCTCGCACTGCAGCCTCTCTCAGAGCAGCGATCCTTAGGGCCTCGCGGTGTTCAGCCTCTCTTCGTATCTGAAGAGCGGCCGCTTGCTCAGCCCTCACACGAGCAATACGCTGAGCCTCCATCTGAACAAGGATTTGCTCAGAGGAGGGTATGACTGCACAGCAAGGGGGCCTGGGTGCACCCATGCAGCACAACATACGAACACTTTGGACCTGCTGGCAGCAGGCTTGGGTTTCAGATTGAAAATACTGCTCGTTACGACGACGTCGAATTTGGGGTCTCGGACGAGGAGGTTCTTGGACAGAACACGTCGCTGGACTCTGGAGGCGTTTGCAACAAGAGGAGCACACGCGCTCAGGATGGGTTTGACATTGTTTGTCAGATCTGTAGAAATGCGAACACACAAAACAAAATATGTACGTAAATCTCTAAATATACAACGACAATATTACATAAACAGTCCAGATTACGGATCTTGACATGTAACGAGCTTAAAAATTTATGCGATGACAATGCTTTTTTCAGGTTTGGTTGATTGCATGTTATGTTTAGTATTGTTTACCCAAGTAAAATGATGAACAGGAAAGAGCGATGAGATATTAGAAGTTAAAATTCCCTTTCTAGCATTATAGATGGCACGTAGGTGTTGACATTCAACAAATATGAAATGCATGAAATGCAAATCAAAGACTTGTGATTTACAACCGACAATATAGACCATCGTGATCCAGCAAGGCACTCAGCTAATGCCCCTACCCTGAGTTGTTGGCCTTCCTGACACACACTCCGTTGGACATCTCCAGACACAACTGGTTGGAACACCTGTTCTCTGTCGGTCTGAAATTTGAAACATTGTGACATGAAGGGGACCGCCATGAAAGTGAACATATGACATATGTGACACATAAAATAAGCATCATCCTAGATGTGTGCGGCGACTACATCCAACATTACTGGGTTTAAGACACATAAGGTAAAAACACAATAACAAATATATCTGACATTTTTACGCAAGTTCTGTATATCAGTCCTTCCGTACACAAAGGGCTGAACACATAAAGACTCATTCTGACATTCTGACATCGAGATAGTGTTCTCTAAAACATTTCGTCTACCTTTCAATTCCTTACATTATGAGTTGTTCACTGGTCACGAGGCCCCGAGGGACCAGTGAACAAAGTATTTATCTTACCGAACACCTTAATGTTAATTTTGAATTGTTTGAAGCACGGGTACAAATCTTGTAGCCATCGCTAGATTTTGCTGACAAGAAAAACAGATTTAGTGTTATCTCCCTTCCATCGATTTGCATTCGCAAAACATCGGTAATTTCCGTACATCATACGTGATTCAATGTTATTCGAGATAAAGAATTACTACCATGAAGTACCAAATGAGTTGCCATTGACAACGGGGTACATTGAAATGTTACTCGCTTGTAAGAGGGGTACATTGAAAATAATAGAAGAGCGCTCGGCCAATCAGAAAGCGACATTTATGTGTGAGGTAAGATAAAAAGTAATAAATACCATGATATATCTTCAATAGTTAACACTTGGTCCAACCGTACACGAAGGACTGAACTCATTCTGACACCCAATCGAGATAGTGTTCTATAAAACATTTCGTGTACCTTTCATTCCTTAAATAAAGTAAAAAATGCAATGATATATCTTCAATTAGTTAACTCTTAGTCCAGACGTGATAGCCTAACAAACAGGACGTACATTTATGATTGGGGCATATATGAAAGCTTATTCATAATGGCATGACTGGAACGTACCTATTGGTCCACCTGCAGCAGTAGCACAGCGAGGATGAGGAACAGGGTCCAGAATGTGTGTCCACACCTGTGGGGGCTTGAGTTGGGGCCTGTGTTACAGATACAACCGCGGCGTCAGTTTGGATAGGGATGGGGGGCAGACTGGACACAGGTAAGGAAGGCAGATATTGTTTATTGGTATTCGAAGGTTGGGTTTCTGCACGGAAAGGGCGAAGGACTGGTTGTTTTAATCCTGGGCGAAGGTGGGTGGGGAGGTTATCCTGTAAAGGTGGAAAGGTGGGGTGTCGGCTACCTACTGGCGAATAGGGGTAGTTGGAAGGTGAGTACGGTGGCAAATGAGGGAAGATTGGGCGCTTAAAGTAAGTTCGGAAAGGAGGACGAGTGGTGCGGTTTGGATTGTACTGAAAAGGAGGAAGTGTTCCAGAAGGAAAAGGAGGAAGGGTGGGTTGTTTTCTGCTTACTCGGGGACGGCGGGTTGGGGCTGCTACGTCAGTTCGGAAAGGAGGACGAGTGGTGCGGTTTGGATTGTACTGAAAAGGAGGAAGTGTTCCAGAAGGAAAAGGAGGAAGGGTGGGTTGTTTTCTGCTTACTCGGGGACGGCGGGTTGGGGCTGCTACGTCAGTTCGGAAAGGAGGACGAGTGGTGCGGTTTGGATTGTACTGAAAAGGAGGAAGTGTTCCAGAAGGAAAAGGAGGAAGGGTGGGTTGTTTTCTGCTTACTCGGGGACGGCGGGTTGGGGCTGCTACGTCAGTTCGGAAAGGAGAGCGAGTTGAGAGGTTTGGATTGTACTGAAAAGGAGGAAGTGTTCCAGAAGGAAAAGGAGGAAGGGTGGGTTGTTTTCTGCTTACTCGGGGACGGCGGGTTGGGGCTGCTACGTCAGTTCGGAAAGGAGAGCGAGTTGAGAGGTTTGGATTGTACTGAAAAGGAGGAAGTGTTCCAGAAGGAAAAGGAGGAAGGGTGGGTTGTTTTCTGCTTACTCGGGGACGGCGGGTTGGGGCTGCCACGTCAGTTCGGAAAGGAGGACGAGTGGTGCGGTTTGGATTGTACTGAAAAGGAGGAAGTGTTCCAGAAGGAAAAGGAGGAAGGGTGGGTTGTTTTCTGCTTACTCGGGGACGGCGGGTTTGGGCTGCTACGTCAGTTCGGAAAGGAGGGCGAGTTGAGAGGTTTGGATTGTACTGAAAAGGAGGAAGTGTTCCAGAAGGAAAAGGAGGAAGGGTGGGTTGTTTTCTGCTTACTCGGGGACGGCGGGTTGGGGCTGCTACGTCAGTTCGGAAAAAGGAGGACGAGTTGAGAGGTTTGGATTGTACTGAAAAGGAGGAAGTGTTCCAGAAGGAAAAGGAGGAAGGGTGGGTTGTTTTTCTGCTTACTCGGGGACGGCGGGTTGGGGCTGCTACGTCAGTTCGGAAAGGAGGGCGAGTTGAGAGGTTTGGATTGTACTGAAAAGGAGGAAGTGTTCCAGAAGGAAAAGGAGGAAGGGTGGGTTGTTTTCTGCTTACTCGGGGACGGCGGGTTGGGGCTGCTACGTCAGTTCGGAAAGGAGGACGAGTTGAGAGGTTTGGATTGTACTGAAAAGGAGGAAGTGTTCCAGAAGGAAAAGGAGGAAGGGTGGGTTGTTTTCTGCTTACTCGGGGACGGCGGGTTGGGGCTGCTACGTCAGTTCGGAAAGGAGGGCGAGTTGAGAGGTTTGGATTGTACTGAAAAGGAGGAAGTGTTCCAGAAGGAAAAGGAGGAAGGGTGGGTTGTTTTCTGCTTACTCGGGGACGGCGGGTTGGGGCTGCTACGTCAGTTCGGAAAGGAGGACGAGTGGTGCGGTTTGGATTGTACTGAAAAGGAGGACGAGTGGTGCGGTTTGGATTGTACTGAAAAGGAGGAAGTGTTCCAGAAGGAAAAGGAGGAAGGGTGGGTTGTTTTCTGCTTACTCGGGGACGGCGGGTTGGGGCTGCTACGTCAGTTCGGAAAGGAGGGCGAGTTGAGAGGTTTGGATTGTACTGAAAAGGAGGAAGTGTTCCAGAAGGAAAAGGAGGAAGGGTGGGTTGTTTTCTGCTTACTCGGGGACGGCGGGTTGGGGCTGCTACTTCAGTTCGGAAAGGAGGGCGAGTTGAGAGGTTTGGATTGTACTGAAAAGGAGGAAGTGTTCCAGAAGGAAAAGGAGGAAGTGGGCGTTGGTTCATCTCCATTGCCACGGGAAATGGAGTCGTGTTGTCGGCCGCATATGAACGGTCTGCTTGCGACTGGGTTCGCCTCCTCGGTGAAGGACGACGGGAAGGAACAGGCACATCCATCCGGAAGGGAGGTCTGGTTGGACGGTTTTTGTCATATCGGAAAGGAGGGAGTGTTCTTGAAGGAAGGGGTGAGCGTTTAGGAGCAGCCTCCTCAGGCTGAAAGAAGGAATCACAGTCACGGTGGTAGAAAATGCTCAGACATCAAACGCGTTAATAAGACAGGAGAGTGTTATTGGGATCATGGGTCGATCTTGCATGCAAGTGAAGGTCAAAGCAGAACAACATGCAAGATATATTTTATTCACAGATGCCAAAACAAACCTTAATATGACTGTCCCATAAGTACAAAGTTATGGTGGACAAATATAATTGTGTTGATGATAGAAATGACTGTACAGGTCTATTGTATCTGTTGATGTCAAACTGATGAATCTTACTGAAATGGGCGATCTTATTAAAGGAAACGGGTGACAACTCTCATTTTGCATTGTTGTAAGGGACGGTCCAAGTCGTCGTCTCGAGAGTGCGTTGGTTGCCATAAATCTCTTTTCACGACTACAATCCATTTATTTCGAACAGATTTCTCGAATGGGAAAATAAATCCCCCTCTGTCTGAACACATCGGAACACAACAACATGATCCAGGCATAGTGAATATCGGTGATAAATCTGTGGTGACGATTGACAGTTGCTATGTATTTCCAATGTAAACCGGAAGTGGCGGGGCGGACCGTCCGGCACAGTGCCACCTAGCGGATTAGTTTGGGGAGGTATCTCCATAAAGATCGCCCATTATATCACCCTCCGTTGTTTTTTGTTGTTGTTTTTTTTTAAATATTTTATTCAGTGTTGAAATGGATTGGGCACAAGTTATGTAACTTATTCCCGCCCGCTTCCATGCTTTCATTCACCCGCTACGCCAGAAGTGGTGTTTTTATGTTGAGTAAAGGTTACGAAAAATCTGACAATAACGACGGCAGATAAGAAAAATGATCTCTAACAGTTTAATAGTAAAATTAGGCAATATCATGTTTCTTTTTAATTTCTGCTTATTCTTGTTCCGTCACTCCGTGAACCGGAAGCCGGCAGGCGTAATGGAGGCGAAGAACGATTTGACATGCCCCGAGGCTTAAAATGTTGAATTAAATATATTGTAAGAGAGTAATTATTAAATATGAGGTTGGAAATCTGAGAGCACAACCCTGTGAGGAAATGGGTGTCTACCTTTCATGGTGGCGGTATTTTATTTTTATATCAAACATATTTTTCATATTTTATTTGGCCAAACCAATGCATTGGTAGCTAAAACGGTATGTTCGATTCTGCCAAAGGCCATGCAAGAGTTCTGGCACGATTTTCGTATGATGTGTACAAGGTGAAACTAACCCATTTGTATGTTTAAAATGCAGGTATCATGGGCGGATCCAGGAATTTAGAAAGTGGGGTTCAGGGAGTTCGAACCCCCTGAACCCTCCCTTGGCTCCGCCAACGCAAAAAAATATCTTCAATGTGGTCTTAAGTAGTTTTCAAAAGGGGGGCTTAGAACCCCCTGAAACACACACACACAGAGACACCCCTTGGATACGCCCATGGGTATGAATCTATGTTTGACGTAAAATGCATAAAGTACTTTTTATAGTTTAAACAGTTTCAGCAGGGAGAATAGAAGACGTGCTGTAGATTATCCCTGGTTTCAGGAAGGAAACGTGTCCTCAGATCCACAGATGTTAATATCGTCATTACAATCACTGCTAATGCATTCTTAATACCTCACAATAACTAACAACTCTAACAATGGCTGTGGTATTCTCGGTATTAGTCATGGTTACGGGTTGTAATGCAAGTGGGTGAGTTCGGTTTTGCGCCGCACTCAGCAATATTCCAGCTATATGGCGGCGGTCTGTAAATAATCGAGTCGGGACCAGAGAATTCAGTGATCAGCAGGATGAGCATCGATCTACGCAAATGGGATACGATGGCATGTGTCAACCAAGTCAGCGAGCCAGACCTCCCGATCCCGTTAGTCGCCTCTTACGACAGGCATGGGTTATTGAAGATCAAATCACGGGTGGTTGTAATACAAGTATCAGTAATACAAATAATGTTACTTTAAATGATAGTTAGTGACACCCGATTAATATTGAATTTCACTGTTAACAAAAAGAATGCTAACCGATGAATTCAACAATTTCGTTAAAACATTGGTATCAATTATTTGTGAAATTCCGAAAGTTATTAATGCATCAGTCTTATAATCATCAACCTGTGCCATTCTGTAATGCAACTAACAATGGGACAATGTGTCAACTTGCCTTCTCCAACTGGACTTACCGTTTCCTGGGTGGAGGATACCAATGTTAAACCTGCAACACAAGGGTATACACACCGTCAGCAATCTATAATCACAGACCGCCGGGCGGACAACACGTAGTCACAATACCTGCAGTACTATTCCTTGCCGTCTATATACGTCAGCAATCTATAATCACAGACCGCCGGGCGGACAACACGTAGTCACAATACCTGCAGTACTATTCCGTGCCGTCTATAAACGTCAGCATGGGAAGACAACTGTTGGAAATGACGGTAGTAGCTGACTAAACTTTTCGGGGTATCATTTATATTTGCCTCCATGTGGTTGGTTTTTTTTCTATCAATATCAGTTTATAGGTACTGTATAGTATTGTGTGTTACAGGATCTAGACATAATGTTAGAACGTCTAGACATAATGTTAGAACGTCTAGAAATAATATCAGAACATCCGGAAACGCCTAAAAAAATGTTCGAACGTCTAGAAATACTGTTAGAACGTCTAAAATTAATATTTAAAACATCCAGATATAATGTTAGAACATATTGAGTTAAATCCGGAAATATTGTTCGAACGTCTAGAAATAATGTTAGAACAACCAGAATCGATATTAGAACATCCGGAAATATTGTTCGAACATCTAGAAATAATGTTAGAACAACCCGAATCGATATTAGAACATCTGGAAATATTGTGAGAACGTTCGGAAATGACGTTAGAACTTCTAGAATAATGTTAGAACTTCTACAAATAATGTTAGACAGACAAAATGTTAGAACATCCAGAAATATCAGCAGTTACTGTTCAGCCTTGTTAGTATTTTGTATCAATTTTGAAACGTTCTTCAATATATGGCAAAATAATTGTTACAGATATATAACCAGTTTACGCTAGTTTTCCTTTTACAAGTAGACTAGTGAATATTGCGGTACGTCGAAGCCAGCAAAGGTGAAACTATGAAGGCGCGAGTCAAATAATCGAGCCTTAGCATGACTCCCTTCTGGACGGAAGGTGTGTGCGTGTGTGTGTGTAAAAGATGTTGCGGCCATTGTTGGTAAATAAATCGGATGTGTGGGAATCCAAAACAATCTTGTATTTGATGGTCCACATGAACAAATCTTGGGGCGAGTCATTGCTGCTTGTTTTTGAGCTGTTGCTAAAAATATGTTACAGAAACTATTTTCGTCGATACCAATGGCTCTATTTGTGATATATGTTTATATGCAACGCAGATAGCTGGTAAATCCAGCCAGCGTGCAGGTAAATGAATGATGCATGGCGTTCATGGTTCTGAGACTTCATCATCTTATCTTGAGCGTCAGCTGAAGAAAACCGTATACTCCAGTTTCTGTTTGTCTAGTACCACACATTTGATAATGGATGAAAACCGTGTAATATAACGTTGTTGCTATGTTCAGCTCTAGTGAAAAATATGATATATGTATATAATTTTCACATTCTGGACAAACAATTTAATTCAAATGTTAAAGGGACAGCGAGGAAGACAAAACTGGCCAAAGATTATAGTCTGTTTGCAGTGAAAACGTACCGGTGAATTTCACTTAAAACAAAAATGTAAATCGAATACAGTGAAATTAAGATTGCGAATCCTCATAATTTTACCTTGCCAATTTAAAAATTAAATCTTAGATTTTATTCAACTTAGGAAAAAAGTTGTTTAACAAACGATCATTGTTTCAAATCGCTTATATTGGTTTGTATTACAAGGGGGTAAGCGCAGTAGATGGAACAGTGAAACAAATGCACGTGCGGTACGTGATGAGCGTTAACTTAGACCAACCCTCCTTGTTCTCGGTGTTTCATTTAATGTGCATACCCCCTTGTAATACACACCAATAATAGCGATTTGAAACTATGATCGTTTGTTAAACAACTTTTATCCTAAGTTGAATAAAAATCTGAGATTTAAATTTTGAAATGGCAAGGTAAAATTATGAGGATTCGCAATCTTAATTTCTCTTTATTTTATTTACATTTTTGTTTAAAGTGAAATTCATCGGTACGTTTTCACCGCAAACAGACTATAAGACAAATTAATATCAAATATGGCTCTCGTGATGGCCATTTGTGAAATCGGATTGGAACCTCTTGAACAAGATCAAATGGCATCAGTGTGCTACATGCATGTGATGTTTCAGCTTCCTTGGTTCAAGGGGCGGTGGGGTAGCCTAATGGTTAAAGCGTTGGCTCGTCACGCCGAAGACCCGGGTTCGAATCCCCACATGGGCACAATGTGTGAAGCTCATTTCTGGTGTCCCCCGCCGTGATGTTGCTGGAATATTGCTAAAAGCGGCGTAAAACCAAACTCAGTCAGTCAGTCAGTCCTTGGTTCAACAGTTCGTGTGGTAATGGTTTCAATTCGAGGAAATACCTTTTGAGAGAATTTAATTTTTTGATGAAAGCGGAAAGATAAAACAAGCATGGCTGTGTTAAGTCAACCATTTGTCGGTACTGAAAATTGCATGAACATGTTGAAAAGTATCAAAATATCTGTAATGACGTCATACTGGCTAGGTATGTCCCCTTTTCATAATGAATAAGGTTCAATGACCAGCGAGGAATGCCCATGTTGAGGTGACCGCGTAATAGCAACGTCAGTCTCGCGTTAAGCCATCCACATATCCCGGTCAAGTCCACACCGACACGAGATAGCACGTGACACCTCAAATGTGCCGCATGTGCTGAAAGCAAGCTGCTGCAACAGAATCTCTCAAAGATAAGGGGAGGTCTCAAAAGTTTTATAAATTTTTCCTCTCCTTTCAGTGCCTACACAAATATGCATTTTCTCTTCTAGAATGCCCTTCCACAAATCATCGCAAATTTCAGTATCACATAGGTAGAGATAGACTAACGCTTAGTCTCTGAATATATATAATTTTGATAGTAACAAACAAGCCCATTTATATTGAAAAGGAGCCCTAGGGAGACCAGAGATTCAGAACCTGAGGAAATCTAGACTTGCTTTATTTAGGGCTTTAGCATTGCAGAGAGGGCTTGGCAGTAGGGAAATTAATGTGGTTCAGGGACTGTAAGACAGACTAAGGTAGAGAGTACGGGTCATCTAAAGCAGCGCACTTCGTTGTGAAGTGAGTGAGTGCGCGAGTTTAGTTTTACGCAACGCCCAGCAATATTCCAGCTTTATGGCGGTGGTCTGTAAATAATCGAGCCTGAACCAGACAATCCAGTGATCAACAGCATGAGCATCAATCTACGTAATTAGGATACGATGACATGGGTCAATCAGGTCAGCGAGCCTGATCAACCGATCCCGTTACTCGCCTCTGAAGTCTCGGCTTACTGAAGATCAGTTCTAACCCGGATCTTCACGGGTTCATTGTGAAGAAATCGCGTCCATGTGGGAACACCAGACACCCATGATCATGGTTTCGCCCTATGTTTTTATGTTCTGGGTTTGATCACATCGTATCCGTGCTCGTTCTCTTATGCTCGTACGTTGTATGAGAGTGGTATACGTCAAAGACCTGCATTACTTCGGGTCTTCCTCCCACATCAAGCTGACACGCAGTGATATAACTGGAATACTGTTCAGAGCGGCGTTAACCCCAACTCACTCACCCACTGGTAGGACCCTAGTAGAGAACCCGGGTCAATTTAGGTCCCAAGTACCCTGTGTTAGGGCATCAGTTTTTTAGTTTTTGTGTTTATCACCCGACCGACCCTTCTAATTTTATTGCCGACCACTTACATATCGTTGAACTCCACGCCGCATGCTCTAAGCGCATACAACATTATTACCCCGAATAACCCAAGATGCCCAAGGTTAAAAGTCATATGATTTATCCCACTGGGTACCCATTTTCTGCTGGGTGAACAGGGGCAATTTTGAACAAACTCACTTGCCTTAGTTGAGACCACATGTGTGCTTCGTTGTGGGGCAGGACAGAAGATACTGTGCCTGGTGTTATTGAAAGACTGATAAAACAACCTAGGTTTGTTTTCGTTGTGAAATTAGGCGCCAGAATAAACAAACAACTCTGCAATCTACATTTGTATCATTTTACACTGATGCATAAATGGAATATTTTCTATCTTGCTAATTAAATTAATTGGATTACCATTACAAATGTCGATCAACCAGTTTCATGGTAAACAACTATTAAGAAATGCGTGTTCATATCATTCATAACAACACAATGTAGCAGGTTTACCAAGAACAGATAATACAATCATGTTATCCACGTGACAGGTATCCAGGACATATGGTTACACTTATTTCTTCGACGTTGCCAATTTCATCCCTGACGTCGTCAAGATAACTCAAGGACGTATGATGGCGTAACCCTAGACTGATGTATAACCACAGAGAAAGGTGAGTGACCGATTAGATAAACTGGAAAAGTATGTTTGTTCACTTTTATTTTCAAATGCGTTCAAACTGATATAATGGAGATGAGTGCAATGAAGTGAATTTCAAGGTGCATAACATAAACATTGAGTAGTGCATTCTGAACCATCGCATATCATACATTTATGTTCACATTACGTTAAAATCAATAATCGAAGCAACAAGAAAATAATCAAAATTTCTAGTTTTTTAAAGAAACTTGAAACAACGAGAAAATAATCTAATCAACAAGAAAACATTCGAAGTTTCGAGAAAATAGTTGAAATAACGAGAAAAGATTCGGATAAACTAAAATAGAAGATTCGAGCAAATACTCATTGGCACGTGCAGAATATCCAGATAGGCTATTTATATATGTGTTTGAAAAGAAATAACTTACACTTTAAAGGCTGTATTCCTATTGTTAATTGCCAAAAACACATATAGAATTTGCTGAAAGAGTAAGTATTACGAACCGATGAGCATTTCTACAAATTCAGCTTTCACACATGCTTGATTTGCAGAGTTCATTTGGTTAGTTTGTTTTTCACTGATGTGTAGCGACATTTTGGTTTATCTAAAACTTGGGAGTGTGTAACATAGAGAGAGAGTTATTTCACCTGCTCGTTTTAACCCATTGTCAGTCACATTTTGCGACTTATACATGTTCCTCAATGAAACTAAGACATCTATACCTACTTTTGCTGCATTTACCATGTCCGTTTTGTGTGTGAATACAGTTTTGTTTATTTATTTTTAACGCCGAACTTCATTTAACGCCTAATTTTTCATCTATATCGCGGCGGTCTGTAAATAATCGAGTCTGTACCAGACAGTCCAGTGATAGACATCATGAGCATCGATCTACGCATGTGGGATACGATGACATGTCTCAGCAGAATGAGCGAGCCTGACCACCCTATCCAGTTAGTCGCCACTTACGATAAGTATGGGTTGCTCAAGACCAATTTGTATTCAAACACAGCTTTTCCGCAGTATTTGCCAGACGGTATACTTCTCGTCTGTTGAATATGACATACATATGCCACCTGTCCAGTCAGACTCACCTGACAACAGACACGCGAACAGGAAGACCTTCATGTCCATGTTTCCTGCAGTACTTTCTTCAGCACCTTAGCTCGCTCCGGCAGCACCAGACAAAGAAATCACAACCAGACGACACTTCCCTTCGCGCCCACAATAAGATCCAACTTTTTCCCCAAACCGAACGGCGTTCACTCACTGTTCCTGGAATGTTTCGAACCACATTAACCAGTTGCGAACAGCCTACCAGAGTGGAGGAACTGTCACTGAAGTTTCGACAAAGTTCAATGACAAGCCTCGTTCTGATAAAAGCCATCTCGTATGGCGAGAGTCGAATTTCTTCGACCTCTAACCCTAAACGTTGCTTCGAAGATAACGCAGTGGCGTTACGTAGACGTACAAGAGACGGCTGTCTCGGTGTCCCCCCCTCCTCCCCATGTGCGGCAGTACCTCTGGGATAGTTGGGTCATGGAATCTGGGGATCTGTGTTCGGTTATTGGGTCAAAAGTGCATCAAGTGAGAGACGTTCGCGGTTCACCTCAACGCCCTCTCAACGTAAGCGTTTGATAAGCATGTGAATTAACGTCTGGGAGAATGGTTGTTCTGCACTGGACCAATAATACTCTGGGTGGCGTGTGTGCGTGTGTCTCCTGGAGGAGGCAAGCGGTGAAGACTTCAGACCGAAAAAATCTTTTACGCTGCACTCAGCAATATTCCAGCTATATGGCGGCGGTTTATAAATAATCCAGTCTGGACCAGACAATCCAGTGATCAACAGCATGAGCATCGATCTGCGCAATTGGGAACCGATGACATGTGTCAACCAAGTCAGGGAGCCTGACCACCCGATCCCGTTAGTCGCCTCTTACGACAAGCATGGGTTACTGAAGATCAATTCTAACCCCGGATTATCTAATCTGTTTTAGAAATAAAACACATTATAGTGAAATGTTCACTGAAAGCACGAATTCGCTTCTAGAAAAGTACGGTCAATATACAGTCTGGATATGTTTACAGATCAATACAAGAACGTTTACATAATCGTGACACTGAACTGCAACGTCGACGAATATATGAAATACTGGTAGAGAGAAGGGATATCTTAAAAAGTACTGACAATTGTTTATATTTGTGTCATGGATGGAATAAAAATGTTGATTATGAAGCGCATTCAGTGACATATTCTTCTGATAACACTGACGCCATATTGAATTTGCCATTTCCTGCCAATTGTCCTGCTCACATGAGTATATATAGCTGTATATGGCATCAGAGGTGTGGGTGTCTTAAAATACACAAACTGTGCTTCAATGTTTAATAAGGGTGCGGCTTTTCTGTAAATTTCCCCGTATATATCGACAGGACGAAATCCGCAATCAAAGTCAAAAGCAAAGGGCCGTATTTGACTTCATACTGCCATACAGACACTGAAACAAATATATCCAAGAAAGCCCATGCATGTCTAGAATGTGTGGCACGTCTAGAATACCATCAGTTTCTGAAAATGAAGAAAGTGTCTGGGCTCATTTTCATTATAGTTTATGGTTATAATTAATGAAGTCTTTTTGGTAAAATACCTTCATTTCAGTGCTTAGATGTTGGTCTATCACAAGAGGAGCATGAGGGATTCAGGGCACGCATAACCTTTGGTAACATTACTCCATCAAGTGGTGTCACATTTAGGAACTCGATCCACTGATATGTGGGGCAGGATCACCATACACCGAGAGTCAGCAACCATTGTAATCTGCACATGTTCTCATCAATGATTAGGTCACACATACATTGTGGGCGAATGGCTTGTGTTTCACTCAACATGTCAAGTAAAGAGTGTTCCAATATTAAGACACACGTAATGGGCTTCATGTTTTGTGTGAACACTGAACCTCAATCCTTCGTCGAGACCAATAAACGCTGAAAGAACACACCTGTTTTGATGAAGTGGTTAATACACCGTGTAAACTCAGCAACATCCTCGAAGACTGCACATGGCTCACTGAGGGCGGAGGTCATCCGCCACTTCCTAAACCTATCAGTCACGTTGGGGAATTCCGTGACATTGTTGCTTCTTTGTGGTGCCCATTGTTTTCAAAACTTATATTAGCTTTCTGAAAGGATATTCCCTACTTCTGATGTATTTGTATAGTAGAATGTAATTTGGGTTTCTTTTATATGTATGTAGGGCGGTGGGGTAGCGTAGTGGTCAAAGCGTTTATCTACTGACGGCGTGAATATATAATCTAATAACATCACCTATTTACGGATGACCAAAATTTGAGGTAATCGAACTTCTTTTCTTAGCTACAAATGAGAACCAAGATATACAAAAAGTACCAAATGTTTCGCCGCCTCGATCATACATGGGGCGGTCGGGAAGTCTAGTGGTTAAAGTGTCACGCCGAAGATCAGGGTTCGATACCCCACATGGGTATAAGTTGTGAAGCCCATTTCTGGTGTCCCCCGCCGTGATATTGCTGGAATATTGCTAAAACCGGCGTAAAATATACTCACTCACTCATTTTATATGTATATGGTTGTTCTTTAATATTTGGTTATGTATCAATATCGTGTGAGGGAATAAAACTTCACCTGGTTGAGAAATCTAGTAGATCTATTTGTACTGCTTGTGTCCATTTCAAATGAAATAAATGGAAGAACAAATCATCTCACCGTTCACTATAACAATAACTGTACGTATGTAGGTTATTTTAAAATAAAACAAGCATTGTCACTAAGGTGACATAATCCCCCGCCGCAAATTATCAAATCAAATTAAATAAGTAATGAAAGTGAAGGTCGTAATTTAAGATGAAGTTAAATGTAAACAAAAACACAACGAGTCAACCTCTCTTGATATCTTGCTCTGTAGTTGTTCAAACGCACAAATATTTTCAAGACTCACTTTGACCTTGACATGAATTTCTTAGTGTATGAAATATGCAAAAATAGTAATAAAGAAACTTTTGATTGATAAACATTCAAGGGAAGTCTTGAAAGTCCATGAAGAAAATCCAATGAACTGTTCTTGAGATATCGCGCTGACAATCTTTACATGCAGGTTAACATGCTGAAATCTTTAAAGTGTCGCTGTGACCTTGACAATTAAGGGAAGGTCAACAAAATAGACTGGGCCCTGCGTCTTCCCTCGATGAAGCTTGATGTCGAATATGAAGAAAATCCAGTGAACGGTTCTTGGGATATCTCGCTGACAAAGGTAAAACGTTAAAGTCCCCCTGTGACCTTGAAATGAAGGTCAAGGTCACCAAACCTGACTGGAACCTTTCTTTTACTGTGATGAACCTAGGTACCAAATATGAAAAGAATCCAGTCAACGGTTCTTAAGATATTCCAATTCGTACGTACGCACGGACGGACGGACGGACGGAAGGACGGAGCCTAATACTATAGTATGACGAGAAATTATTGAGAATTTTAGGAATATGTTTAATTGGATTTCTAGTATAAACAACCTTGACCAACTATCAATTGGTTTCATTCAAGAGAGAAAACTCCGTTAATCCTTTTTCATTAGTTTGTGAAGAGTTATCCCCCTTTGTTTACTTGCTAGCAGACGACATTTTCAGTGATCCTCAGTATGGATGATTTAGAGAAGAGGAAGTTGATTTTAGAGTATTATAATAAGGACATCAGATCAGCTAAAGTGATTTCAAGTAGAACAGGCATCCCTTTGTCCACTGTTTATCGTGTTTTGAAAAATATTGCAAATGTATATGGCACTGAGCACCAGGGAGGTGCAGGTAGGCCCAGAAAATTGACTGTCGGTGACAGGAGGCGGTTTGGTATTCTTGTTTCTAAAACCAAACGAAGGAGTTTAGAAAACTTAAGGCTGGATATGATTGATAGAGGAACTGTGGCAATTAGAACTGAGCTGCATGCAATGGGTTGGCAGAAAAGTCGAGGAATTCCATCACCGATCATGAAACCTGAACAAAAGGAGCGAAGGTTGAACTGGTGCTTACATCATAGAAATTTTAACTGGGACAATGTGATTTTCTCAGATGAAAGTTCTGTGTGGCTGTTTCCTAATACACTGAAATTCTGGACCAAACAAACTGAAAAACCTTTGTATCAGCGCCCAAAGTACAGTCCGAAATTTAACGTGTGGGGTGGCATATCTGTGTTAGGGGCAACGCCCCTCTGAGTATTTGAAGGGAATATGAACAGTGAGCGGTACACAGATGTTCTCGAGGGACATTTACTTCCATCTGCTCACTTGTTCTATGGAAATTTTTGATTTTCCAGCAGGACAACGACCCAAAACATCGTTCAAAGCATTCACAGGCCTGGTTTCGGACCCAAAATATGACATTATTAGATTGGCCAAGCTATAGCCCTGACCTAAATCCAATAGAAAATGTTTGGGGACTTATGAAGGAAAGTGTCAATAAGAAAAATCTGACAAATATTGCTGAAAAATGAAAGAAGAGGTGGTCCGATATTGGGACAGCATGGACCACGACTTTCTAACTTCTTTGATCAGTAGTATGCACCGCCGCATTGAAGCCTGCATTGCTGCCCATGGTGACTTGACAAAATACTAACTGTTCACCTGTCGTTGAATCTCGAGTTATGTTCTGCTAATATTCACATTTAATACGTAATAAAAAAATTTTTACAATCTTTAAATTCTCAATAATTTCTGGTTGTACTGTATATCCCCCGCTTCGCGCTAAACGCGCGGCGGGGGATAAGTAACAGACTGGCAATGGTCAAGAACTCAACGCCTCGTCATACTGCCAGGGAAATGATATACCGGATGAGTCAGCGCTATTGACTAACTTCCTATTTCCTGTAGAAATCTATGAATATCTATGGCGACAACCAAGACACACTTTCACCTAGCCTCACTGCATGCTTCAGGGACGTGGCGCTTTCACTCAATTGCCTTGTCATTTTTATCAAACTGAACGGAAACTGAAAGTGACATGGTAAAAGTGGATGGGTTATTTACATTCATGTGTTGCTTTCTTTATTTGTTGCCTGCATCTATTTGTGCACATTTCAACTTAATTGTTTTCTTATTAAAAACAACAACCAATAAACGAAGAGACCGCACCCTAGTTAACAAGACGTTGTTGATATTTGTTCACTAAAACGAGAATTACAAATAGGGGATAAGTTATTTTGAAGATTCAGATCTGAACACATGTGTACTCTACAACAGACCATCCCGACGCTGGCGTAAACGTGCTTCGGTGATATACAGTGTGCGAAATAGCCACTGGCCCGCTAGCCCGTGGCTAGTAAAAATCCAGTCGGGCCTGTAAATCCCCCCAGTCACTGGCCCGACTGGCTAAAGTACTGTCGGAAATGCTAGAAAAATGCTTTTTAGCCTTATAGTCTATTAATATCTTTATAAAGGTGATAAATGTACTATGTTGTCAATATATCAACTCGCCTATAGTGTACCTAATTTGTATTTCAATCGATTTAACATTCCATGCATTTAAAGGGCAGTTTACAGGAGAGAATTTGGTACCAAAACAGCAACTTCAGATTTTTTCAGAGTTCAACAACAGAAATCTGAATTAGTCTTTACATTTATGCTAATAATACAGGTGGTGTAAAAATATAAATTAACGTATTTCCTTAACAAATAAATGTTGAATGTTTGTGTTACGTTACTTAAATATCGTTTCTTTATTGAAGAAATATTAATATAAATGTTAACTCTTGATAAATAAGTTTCCCGTCGTGCATGCACATCTTTATCACAGCGTCCACTATGGCCAACGATTTGCAGTCGATTGTTGCAAAGGTTTATAAGCTTTTTCTGCTTGAAAAAGACAGAGGTAAACCTTTCATTTGTTTAGAAAGGGTTTATTACAGAACTTGTAGAGCTGTTGGTATGTCTTACCAACAAGTTTACAATATTGTAAACAAATCAGACAAGACAGGGACCGTCTCAAAAGCAAAACCGGGACGTAAAACCATCCTTGACAACTTTGACAAAGGAGTGCTTAGACGGGCGGTCTACAAACTTTATGAGAAGAAGAAGATATATATTCTAAAAAAAGCTACACCAGTGACTTCGTTAAATCTTTGGCCAATGTTCACAACTAGATTAAACTGACCGAATTACATCCATATTTTTGCAATGAAATATACTGTTGACATGCAAAACATTTATTAAAACGTTGCACATTTCTACGATCAGTCGATAACACATGTGATATGATTCTTTCCAATGTACAGTAATTCGTATGTTTATTTCAAAACAAACACACATACACAAATGATCCCTTACATAACCAATATATATACTATACGTACACATATTCAACATTTTGCAGAAAACATCTATTGAGATGACCCCTCGCCCGAGCTCCGGTGTCAATTTCACCTGTCGATACCGTGCATGCTGATGACGTAACACAGGCAGTTAATGTTTGTATCAAATAACGTCCCACTACCCCTTATTTTTCTAAGTTTTTTGGTATTGTCATCAGTAAAAACAAATTTTTGAGCATGTCTCAAAATTTATTCCCTCGGTCTACATTAGGTAGATGTTTCTTGAAGTGATATTTGTTATTTAAGTAAGTGTAATACCTCTGAATTTTAAATATAAGTCAAAAAGCATTTTTCTAGCATTTCCGACAGTACTTTAGTGAATTTTCATGAGGTCATTTTGTAAATATATCACTCTCTCCGACTTGTTAAGTTATAATACACTTTTAAATCATGCAAGATCATGGTCTGATAAAAATGTTCACCATATTAGCAGTTTAATGATGGAACCTGTGTCCACATTCAAATTTCGGGCAAGTGAATTATTTTGTGGGCTAGTAACTTTCAAGCGTAGCTTTTTTTTTAACCATTTCGGACACTGGTGATATATACTGGCCACTTATGCATACCTGGCACCTTCAGCGGGTGAGTGAGTTGGGTTTTACCCCGCTTTTAGCAATATTCCAGCAATATCATAGTGGGGACACCAGAAATGGGCTTCACACATTGTGCCCATGTGGGGAATCGAACCCGGGTCTTCAGCATGACGAGTGGACACTTTAACCACTAGGCTACCCCACCGCCCTGGCACCTTCAGAAAAACAGCCCGGTCAAACGTGGCTTTGGAAACAATACCAGAACTAATGTCTCCAGACGCGATCAGCCCAAAGCTAGTCAAGTGATCGGATTTATTCAAAACAAGAACACATTGCAGACGTTTTGGAGGAGGCGTTGGGCATCCAGAAAGACTGGAACATAGTACAGTGACATTTTAACTCACCTTGATTTGTTGGCAGTTCGGATGTCGACAAACACTTAACAAAAAGTGCAGAGGTTTCAGAGGAGACCCTGTACATGCAGTAAAACCGGCAAGTAGTGCCATGGCACAGTAAGCACATCTGGACACATAGTTTACAATGTCAACAGAGACAGGCACTTCAGAACAGTTGCCATCAGCAGTGATATTCAAATATCAACTATATAAAATAATAACATTGACGTGTAATGATTTGACTGTTGACATGATGCCTGTTCATAGGTGGTTTCAGATGTTTTTAAATCATGCCCAAATTGTTTCTTAAACCAAAACAATATCACATTTTACCTTTCACAGCCGAGGTCTGACCGACTCTAGTGTTGTGCAGAGTCAACAGGCTTTATCCTATTTGTGGCTACCTGAAGAGTAAGCTTGAGTTTTTTCTTACCTATGAGGTACAAAATACTAACTTGATTTGATTAGTGTTTATCAAACCTAAATGATAATCGCATATACTTCTGCGGTGTGAAGCCAATCACTCTCCCATCTAGGGTTCCAGAGTTTCTTAGAATATATGAGCAGGATCACTGACTGAGTTTGGTTTTACACCGCTTTTAGCAATATTCCAGCAACATCAGGGCGGGGAACACCAGAAATGGGCTTCACACATTGTACCCATGTGGGGATTCGAACCCGGGTCTTCGGCGTGACGAGCCAACACTTTAACCACTAGGCTACCCCAACGCCCCATGAGCAGGATCAAAACAATTTTGTTTTGTTTTAAATTGCAAAAATGGAACATAGGAGTTGAATCCCACAACTTTCACTTTACCTTGAAAAAACAATGCCTAAGTAATGGCCATATAAAGCCCTTTCAAAATGTCAGCAATGGTTCACAAATGAAAAAAAATTAATACTAAAACCACTGGCTAATAGCATGCCCACCAACCAGTGCTTGATATCATGAGTACAATAAATACCATTAAGGCATAGCCTTTAGCCCTTACAAGCTAAATCAAATAACGACACACACATGCTGTTATCACTGCTATTTATACATAATGTACAAGGTAATATTGACTGGTTTAAGAGCATCATCCTGTGTCTGCATCCTTCAGCCTCTGTTTGAGTGCAGTCTCCAGGGCCTGCTGTAACACTGGGTACAGTCGCTGACATGTCTCCACACAGTCTTTGATAGCCTAGATGTGAAACAACAGAGGTATGCACAATAAGACCTGACAAGATCTACTTTTCATTAACCTGCCCTACATTTTGTAGCAGTAATAGAAATAAACGGTTCAAATGCCAAAATGTTTATCATGATGATATTTTCTGTATTTTCATTGCTGTTTCACTTCGGGAGGATTTTAGCAGGTTAGTGAAGCCAAGAATGGTTAAGGGACATACAAATGCCACATATATGTCTATATCAGAAACAACAGGGCTGCCATTGCCTTAGACAACCAGCCATTGTCTAGACCCCCCCCTCTGTCCAAACCAATATTTAGATTTTAGACCCCATAGGTTGTTATTTGATCCGCATTCTGGAAGTTGGTGAGTCAAAAATCAAGCATACAACTTTATGGATAACAACTTCTTGTTTTCTGCACAGAGCGACATTTTGGTGTAGATTCTTACGCCATTTTCAAGCTAAAACACCCATAGGTTGAGTAATGAGATCATTTTGATGATTGTGTGTGTAACCTTTTGTCTATTCCAGATCTATTCCATTCTTTGTCAGAGCCTAATGCCACTTTAGAAAGAAAATACTTCCCTCATATGGCACTGAATTATCAGTCATCCCAAAACGAATAGTGTATTGTCTGGTCATAAGCATTTCCAAGATATTACATAGGCTGGTATTGTTGCACCAGTGTGCAAAATAGCCACTGGCCCGCTAGCCTGTGGTCGCTGGCCCGACTGGCTAGTGAATTTTCATAGGGTCATTTTGTAAATATATCATTCTCTCCGACCTGTTCAGTTATAATACACTTTATAATCATGCAAGACTATCTCCTGATAAAAATGTTATCATATTATTAGCTTCATGATGAAACCTGTGTCTACATTCAAGTTTCGGGCTAGTGAAGTATTTTGTGGGCTAGCAACTTTCAGGCATAGCTAGCCCAACAGGCTAGCAAAACTTTGAAACTATTTCGCACACTGTGTTGCACATCTAAACATGGATGAACAGTTACTAAGCTAACTAATTTGCTGATGCATGGCAAGTGGCAACATGTTTAGAACAGCCAAACATACAAGGTGGGAATTGGCATTCTCTACATCAATTGGCACACTGTCTAAACTGGCATTTCTTTCTGATACCATCTGAAACTGGTTCTGACACAGCAGAAAGTTCCGCCTATAGACAGTTCCTCCACTAAATGCCCCTCCTCCTCCTCACCTTGGTAGCCAGCTGGAAGTCGATCTCCCCCTTGGAAGTGATGGCCGACACTTGGTTCAGTGATGGCATAAGGCCTACAGTAACAGAGCCATTGTTCTTCTCAGCAGTCAGCTCTGGCTTGTACTCCTCCGACTCTGTGGGATCCAGCAGGATGGTGTCTCCTCGCACACGCTGTCACAAGATGCGATATATAGATATAGACAAATCACATGTACTTTTATTGATATTGATAAAAAAATAAATATATGTCAAGTTTTGCTCAGGCACTGGGATAAAAAATAAAAACACTGTAATAAATCTGTTTAATGGTAAAATTCAATTCCACAGTCCCTTCTCACATCCCCACTACAGTCATTACTTACAGCAGAACACCCAGTGACAAGGTCGTACATCTCTATGCCAGCATCAGCGAGAGCCAGAGCAGCACATGTGATGGATGCTGCCAGAGCTACAAGGAACAAAAGTGAGATTATTGTTGCTCCGAAAAATACAAAGACAATGTTTAGGTAATATACTTCGAATACAGAATCGTTTGAAATACATGTATTACAAGAACGTTTAAGGCACATTATCCATTTTCAAAGCAGAAGTAGGCATTATCAAAGAATTTTCAATTTTGTTTTAAACTCCGAGCAGTAAGGCAAGTATGGACTTACCACTGCCAGCATTCTGTAGCACCATCACATACACATTCACCTGGGACTTGGGGAACTTGTGCTGAAAAAATATCAAAATTATTTTCAATAATTTTAGGGACCTTACATAAAATATGGTTTGGTTTTTGTTGGGTTTTTTGTTGTTGTTGTTGTTGTTTTGTTTTGTTTTTTTTGGGGTGGTTTTGGGGGTTGTTGTTGTTTTGGGGTTTGGGGGTTTTTGTTGTTGTTGGGTTTTGTTTTGTTTTGTTTTGGGGTTTTGTTTGTTTGTTGTTGTTTTGTGTGGGAGTTGTTTTGTTTTGTTTGTTTTGGGGATTTTAGGGGGTCAGCAATTTTGCACACATGTACTTGTGGGGGCAGCAATTTTGTACATCGAAGTATCGAAAATTATGGGAGGGGGGTCATTGATTTTGTACATGACATGCAGGGTGGGTAACTTACTTTGTACATAAATTTTAGGGGGGTCATTCACATTGTAAAAATCATCATCACCCCTCCCTAGCCCTAAATCATGAACGGTCCCTTAATTAAGCAATTATCTAAAGTTTATCAAAAGAAGCACAGCATGTATATTCCAGATAGTTTCTACTTTTTGTAAACAGTTTCAGTTTCAGCTAATTATCACTGCCGCACTGAGATAACATACCGCAGTTGAACATCAATACCCAGCAAAGGCCAACTCAGACATAGCATCCTGACCTCTTGGTTAATTCAAGAACCATCCATAACCCTATTGGTAGTTGGTACAATGCTCTTATCACAAAAGATCACACTGGTTCAGATTGGATTTGTTCATCAAAGGCAGATAATTCCTACCAAGCAGACAGCCGGCTCCAGTGCTTCAAGTAGCTGCACCGAGAAGTCCTTTTCTTCACTATCCTGCTGATGTTTTCGTCTCAGATGACATGAGAATGTAGCAAACTTGAATTCACAAGTCAGCTGACCTTTCATGCTGAAGTCTTCTTTGCGTACCACTTCTCGTGGACCATAGCTGCAACAACATATATAGTATTCTCAGAAATTATTGAGAAAGTTGTTTCGGGCAAATATCTAATACATGTATATTTATATAAACTACAGAAGTTTTACTTAAATGAATATGTTGAGGTATGATTCTTTTAGTCTAAGTGTCTTTTCAGTACTTTGTGAGACCTCCTTGTCCCAACTCCTGACTGAATATTCTTCTAAGTTCTGTATACTGTAGACAGAGGAATGTCATGTCTACCAGCTACCTCTTTTGCATTAGTCACACCCCTTTCAAAATCATCTACAACCAGCTTTCTTCTCTCTTCTGCTGTCAAATATTCCATGTCAACAAAGAAAAGCAGTCTTCTACACCAGGGGAGAAAACTCTTCATGTAGTAGGTTCATGAGTTGCCTCCCATATTTTAAAATTCTATTATCAGTATTAGGAAACAAAGATTTTCTCAATAATTTCAGGGAAAACTATAGTTTCATATGGTATCTGGTCACATGGAAGGACTTTACCAAGGATTCCAAACCAAGTGTCTTCGGCAGGCAAATACATGATACCATTCAAACTTATATTTGTCTTAATGTTCAAATTGAGAATTAAAGGACAGACTAATGAGAGGCAAGACTGTATGACAAATTGCTATTGTTGCAGTGCACAAGTCAAAGAGAATCAGATGATGTACTATCACATCATAGTCAGCAATATCATAACGGCTTGTAACCATGGTAACTAATCATATCTAAGCCAGACAAATAAGACTGACAGCAAGAAAATCACTCCATCCCATCAGGTTCTGATGACACACAAGCCAGGTTACATATTGAAACAACCCAATCCTCACTTTAATCTTTATCTGGGTTAGAAATCGGTTTTTGTTCACATTTGCTCTAAAAATGAACCATATCTCCACATCTTTGAGTGGCATTTTAGAAGTTGTTGCTTGTTGGGAAGTACAATATAGAACAAACTAAGATGTCTCCAGTGGCCACTACCCACATCATTATGCTTGACAATGGTACAAGAATCTGTATCGAAACGTCGCACTCACGAATAAAAAGAAGTTGTTATCCATAAGTTTGTTCTATAACATATCTCCACATATTGACATACTGGAAACCTCCACATCATTGCATGGTAGGATTTATAACAAATGAATCACTTTGAGGACATCAACACTCACACACTGAATTCAGCGTATGTCTCAAATGGAATTATGTTCTTTATCCTACACTGAACTTTTAAAATGCTCCTCCAGTTATTTTAGCTAAATCCTGACACTTACACAGAACAAATCACTTTTGTTTCATTCTGTTCAATGTAAGCTGATCCTCGAGCCTGGGTGATCAGTCCTGCTCGTAAAACTGAAACATAATTACACAACGTAATACACTGATCATGTTGATGATATTCTTTCAGTCTGTGTATCAGTTGATTCATTCATCTGTTACTGTCATATTGGATATACACACTTGGAAAAAGTTAAAGTAACCCTTATATTGTATACTTGATTTCCATACAAAAATAGCTCATTTCAACGTCAGTTTAGAGCATCCATTTTCTGACTAAACACACCTGCTTTGTTCCCATGTTAATATATATATTGAAAGTAATCATCTTTATAATATGGATTGTATCACTTCATTGACAACAGTGGTCTAGACATATTTCAGTTTCGTTTACATGATATATAAACAGTGTCCTTACACATACTTTTCATCAGGTATAACTGGTATCTGGCACATTCGTTGAAATTAGATCCATGTCCTATTCATAATTTTCCAAAATAAAGTTTGGTACATGTGGAAATAAAGAAGGAATTCACATAATGTATAAATTAAGAAATAAATATCTGTGTTGCTCTGAAAATGACGAAGATCATTCTACTCACACAGAGGCCTCACTTTGTCAGGTTTCCTTCCATCAGCTCGCTCAGTTCCATCCGTTACCTGTCACAGAAATGTCAACAGTCCTCACATTCATCAGCTCACTATGTACAGCAGTGTAAAACAATACAGTGAGCAGTAAGCCAAACATCCTGCCAGACATCAGCCCTGATGATCAGGGCTGGTAACTTCAAAAGTTACCAGCCCAAAATGGATTTAACCAGACCACAGGGGCTTGTAACGCTAAAACTGCCATCAAGGCATATACTGTCACTGACGGGGTCTTAGTACTATAGTACTTCTTTAGTATATAGTACTAAGACCCCGTCAGTGACAGTATATGCCTTGATGGCAGTTTTAGCGTTACAAGCCCATGACCTGTGATCTCTTGATTTACTGATTTACCGGTACGTGTGGATCATTCTTGGCAAGAGAGTAAGGACTGATCGTGCCTTCCGGACCGGTCAATCTCCGTGTGTCGGTGGGCATCGTCTGGAACACTCTTTATTTTACTTTATGTACAGATTTGACAATCGCTCGGCATGTTTCACATGGAGGCATCCATGTTGCAAATACCCGGATGCTCAGTGAATTGTCTCCCTTGCATTATAAAAGAAAAGACTGACTGACTGAGTCAGTATGGTTTTACGACGTTTTTAGCAATATTCCAGCAATTTCCCGGCGGGGACACCAGAAATAGGCTTCACAAATTGTACCCATGTGGGTAATTGTAACACAAATTGATAATAATAATTGTAAATCCGGCAAGATAAACACGTTTGAGTCATAATATTTTGACCAAATGAGTAAATAAGAGAGTTATGATTGGAAAGATAGAATATTATTAGTCATCAATAATGCATGATCAAATAGACAGACACATGCAGAAGTAAGAAGCTTGGCGAAGGAAGTGGACATCAGTAATGCAGAGAGATCAAGGAGGAAAACACTAATAATGCAGCAGGGTCATTGGACGCCAATAGTGTAGTCGTGCTAGTGAGGGAAACAAGTGATGTAGCAGGAACGAGGACGGAGATGCCAGTAATGCAGCAGGTTCAACGAGGGACAGGCCTATAATGCAGCAGGTTAAATGAGGGACACGCCAATAATGCAGAAGGTTCAATAAGGGCACGCCAATAATGCAGTTCTCTAAGGTTCAATAAAGGACATGCCAATAATGCAGCAGAGTCAATGAGGGAGACACCAATAATGCAGCAGTATCAATGAGGGAGACACCAATAATGCAGCAGGTTCAGTGAGGGCACACGCCAATAATAATGTAGGGTCAATGAGGGGAGACACCAATAAAGCAGCAGGGTCAATGAGGGCACACGAGAATAATGCAGCAGGGTCCATGAGGGAGACACCAATAAAGCAGAAGGTTCAGTGAGGGCACACGCGAATAATGCAGCAGGGTCAATGAGGGAGACACCAATAAAGCAGCAGGTTCAGTGAGGGCACACGCGAATAATGCAGCAGGGTCAATGAGGGAGACACCAATAAAGCAGCAGGTTCAGGGAGGGCACACGAGAATAATGCAGCAGGGTCAATGAGGGAGACACCAATAAAGCAGCAGGCTCAATGAGGGACATGCCAATAAAGCAGCAGGGTCATGAGGGAGACACCAATAATGCAGCAGGTTCAGGGAGGGCACACGCGAATAATGCCGCAGGGTCAATGAGGGAGACACCAATAAAGCAGCAGGTTCAGTGAGGGCACACGCGAATAATGCAGCAGGGTCAATGAGGGAGACACCAATAAATCAGCAGGGTTAATGAGGGACATGCCAATAAAGCAGCAGGGTCATGAGGGAGACACCAATAATGCAGCAGGGTCCAATGAGGGAGACACCAATAAAGCAGCAGGTTCAGTGAGGGCACACGCGAATAATGCAGCAGGGTCAATGAGGGAGACACCAATAAAGCAGCAGGGTCATGAGGGAGACACCAATAATGCAGCAGGGTCAATGAGGGAGACACCAATAATGCAGCAGGTTCAGTGAGGGCACACGAGAATAATGCAGGAGGGTCAATGAGGGAGACACCAATAAAGCAGCAGGGTCAATGAGGGACATGCCAATAATGCAGCAGGGTCAATGAGGGAGACACCAATAATGCAGCATGGTCAATGAGGGACATGCCAATAATGCATCAGGGTCAATGAGGGAGACACCAGTAAAGCAGCAGGTTCAGTGAGGGGACACCAGAAACACAGAACTTGAACTGACTCTGAACAAATAAATGGTTATTAAGATGTTAACACCTACACCCGCCCCATTGCTACGAGGGGAAGTGGGTAGCCTAGTAGTTAGCATTCTCTCTTCACGCTGAACACCCGAGTTCGATTCCCCACATGGGTACAATGTGTCAAGCCCATTTGTGGCGTCCCCTGTCGTGATATTGCTGAAATATTGCTAAAAGTGACGTAAAACTAAACTCACTCACACTTACTGTTACGATAACACTATACGGTCTGAATGCACCTTGTTTGGGATTGCTGTTCTGCCGAGCGACTTTCATGGTTAAACATCTCCTTTCAAAATCCATAAGTCATAAATGCCCACTCCAGCTCTCTTGTCTCAGTTCCCTCTTTCACAGGCTTCACAAAGCCCACATACCGACAGCTAGTAATACATTCCAAAGATTCCATGTCCACTGACTTGTGGGCTCTCACACAGTCACTAAGCCATATTATATTCCCTTCCGTCCAGTCCTTATTATAAAGCCGTGCTCCTAAATTAAGCAAGTCTAGATTGTCCACGGGTTTAGAAAAGCCTATCTTTCAATTCAATATAGTTGCTTGTTTCTATCTACCAAAGCCTATATGAGTCATTCTATGTGCTATGCGATTGAATCTGACGTTAGTACTGGACAATAACTATATGGTGGACTCCAGGCCCTTCATTACCGACCAACAGTCACATGTAGCTCTAAACGTCTATATATACACTACTCAAAAGGACATTCACAATTGTAGGACGATAGTGTGTTTCAATACCCTGCAGCCATGACAGATTGTTACAGTTATATCAATATGGGTGTTCTTTTAATCCCTTTGAGTAGTATATAAATGTATATTATGGAAGTGAACAAGGCGTTGTCTTTAAGGCCACTATACAAACTGTCATCAAATCTATACCAAATGTAACATTACGCGGGTATTTGTCTCCACATCTTCTAGGTATATATATGCAACTGACGACCACTTAGAACTGCTACATGAGTGAGGGGGTGAAAAAGGTCTGACGAAGCCTTTGACACTATTCAAGCAGTATCACGGCAGGGGACACTATAGAAATGAGCTGAACAACACACTGTACCTATGTGGGGATTCGAAGCCGGGTCTTTGGCGTGACGAGGAAAGCTTTAACCACTAGGCTTCTCCACCGCAGTTTGCTGAGTGAGTGAGGGAAGGAGGGAAATCATATTTGCATATATGTTTACCCCGTTGGTGAAACAGTCAGAACCTGGATTCGAACCTACGATAACAGGCGACAGGGACGTATTAACGCGGCAAGTGACCCTTTGCCTTTTCCTTAGATTTATTTCGATTTACCTGTTTCTGTTGCATCTATGCAAAAGAAATCAGTTAGCTGGGTTTAAATCTTGTTTGAACAATATTACAATAACATCATGGCGGGAGGAAAGCTCGAAGTGTTGCAGTTCTAAGACCTGTAAGTTTAAGGGCACAAAATTTGTTCATTTATCCCTCTGGGGGAAAATCCATGAGCAAGGTATGCTCTTGACAAACCTAGAAACCAAAGGAACGCTCCACTACAGAGCGAATTGAGGCACCAGAGACGTTAATTGCTGATATGAAATTTTAGATAGCATGTCTTCTTTAGTTTGGAATCTTCAGCTGCAAATATTAAGTAGGATCTTGGTTCTTAATGAAAACACCATCTTCAGACTTTTAGTGATATATTGACAAAATAAAAACTTCCTGCGGGACGTGAAGTTCAAAGGATTCAATTGCTTCAAATTACATATAGTATTGTTCTCATGCTTACATTTCAGAAATTAAAAGATGAAATGTCGTACATTATTGAGTAATTGGAAAAATTATGTGTGAAATCGGGCCAAAATTTAAAAATGGGAGGCAAATGTACAATTATTGAATTCAACATTGTTGGTTTCAGTTTCGGGCCGACTATTTTGTTTTGAGACAAATGTCGCATGACTGTATGAATAATTCATGACATGATGTTTAGTCCACAAACAAAGATCGTCTTGTGCTGCGTGATAAATGCCAGGTTTATCTCCCCCACAGCCGCGAGGACGTGTGGAGAATGTGAACTTTACTAAGCATTTTGCTGCACGTGATATGCGTTGTTCCCTTGAAGAATAAAATGTACATAAGTACATCCTCGTTGGATAAAGAATAAAAGAGCTAGTCAGTTAGTTTTTCAATTTACATAACAATCCATTAATGTGACGATTAATTTTGACCGTCATACGAGTAATGAGAATCATGTTAACAACAACCTTTATTGTTATTAATATAAACATTTGAAAGCGTCCTTTGACAATATACCGTTCCTCTGTCGCGCTCATAAATTGACCAATCAGCGCGCACCTGCCCCGTTACACCGAAGCATCTGTTCAAAATGGCGATGGGTCGCACTCAATTTTTGTGAAGACTTGGGGCGATCCTTCTTAAAATACGACAACCTGTGTGAAACAGTTGTTTATAAAATGACTTCTCTTCATTTTGTTGTTCAACCACTACCGGGAACTGATGATCAACTAAACGAAAGGTGATGAATCCAAGCACTTTTTCTATGTTTTAGATGTCATCGTACCCCAGACAAATCAGACTCGGGCACGCATGTGTAACGTCGACGACAAGAATACTAAGCTTGATATCCTTTGTGTGGACATTATGAAGACTGTAAAAGACAATATAGACTGTAGATACTATTTCACGTTGATGACTATGTCTCGTATACGTTAAAGGCGATTATATTATAATGTATTTTGTTTCCATAAATAGATTCTGCTAGGTTAACACATCTGGATCCTGGCTCATCCCAGTTTCTTAGATGTTCGACATGCACTGTCACTGTCAGGCATCGAAATAAGCATGGTAGATCCATTTAATGTATTTTTTACTATGCCGGAAATAATAATAAGTGTTCTAAACATAGCACTGACGTGTAAAATTTCTCACAATAATTAAGTTGTGAATAACGTCCTATATCCAACTGTGTTTTTAAGTCATATAAGTTCAGTATTGAAGCTTTACATCATTTATGAAAGTCACAGACAAAAACTTATGAATCATCATAATAAGGTTGAATTTCAGTTATTCAGGGTATTCTTTCATGTCAATTCATACACCTCTAAATGACCTCACATGCTCATTACCTTCACTGGATTCTATGTTCCATGTTTGTTACAAGTTGCACCAATAGATGAGAAATGATCAAACAAAAACAGCAGCAGCATTTCATAAAAGTAAAGTGATCCTGTCTAAACACTAATATTAAATTGCAGGTTTAGGGGGCCCAATTTGATAATGCGCACCAGTTTAAAATAATATTTCTGTGAGTTTGTACATTTTCCTTTAACAAACATTTGAAATGAAACAGTGGACAGGCTCTACTACTTAGTACTATGTTAATAGCCTGTCACAACCTAGATGGTGAGGAATATCATAACATTCAATCACTGGGTTTGTTTGGCTTAAAAGTCTATATTCAGGTAATGAGCCATTATCATTACAAATTCACAAATTTAATAAAATAATTATCAATATTTTGCAATGGTATTAAATAACCTGTGATAACTTGTGGCTTTTTAGAGATAACTTGAAATTCATTAATTAGAGAAACAGAAAATGATAATGCAAACTGAAAGTAGATCAAAATACCTCCATTCAAGAACATTGACAGAAATCTCAGTTTCCTAATTTGCCTGCCAAGATGGGCAAGGGAACTTGGTTTGGAATCCTACCTAAATCCTGGGGTGCTGACATGATTATTTATTTGCAAATATAATATTAGCCTGAAATGTGATTAAATCAGCATTGAATAAAATTGGCCTAACTACCAAATATAATACAACATCATCAAAATTGGTTGACATAAACCATAATTTAGCAGATAGGTAGTGACGACATAAACCATAATTTAGCAGATAGGTAGTGACAAGATAAATATTTCAAGAAATTCATCATTATACACATGGTGTAGTATTGTGCTGACTGCTAGACATTATATCACATTGAATGATGTATTTTACACATTGGCATCTTCAATTCTACATCAAAGTCAATGACACATACAACATTTTTCCATTCCAGACTTGGAGAAGTTGCTGCTAAATTGAGTCATCATGGATTTACCAGCCCAACATGTCTGTCAGCACTGAAGAATCTAGTTATATCACAATGTGTGATTGGACCAAACTATATTGCTCTTCTTCTAGAGGTTTGTAGTAACATGGCCTTGATAAGAAAACATTAATATATATGGAAAAAGTTAACATTTAAAACCATTATTTACTTTTTTATGACACAGTGGCATGATGTTTGAATGTGAAGAAATCAGAATTCTACCCGAAACAACATGTGTAATAACATACTATATGTAATTTAAATTGTCATTTAACACTTCTGTCTAGCTTTTGTATAGCTGAGTACACCAGTATTCACTAAAACGGAATTCCACATGTGTGGTTAGAATTATTTCCTGTTTGACTTATTTGCTGAAATTTAAGAAAACATAACTTAAGTTGTGATGACTTTTCACAGAATGGCCGAATCTGCCGTGTGCCTTTCACGCTGGTGACAGACAGACTTGACCTCAGCAAAAACAATGACAACAAAACGTAAGTCTTTCCTTTTCCTATTGATATTTTGTCTGCCATGCTTATTATGTGATAATTTCCAGTTAAAACTGGTCCCCAGCAACCTATGCTGGACATAGCGGTGACCATATGCATCTGGTGGTCAGGGTCAGGTTCAGTGACTTGTGAATTGCATGGCAACGCTCCTCAGTGGCACAGATTGTTAAGACCAGCATAATACTGGACATGATGAACACTTGAAATTGAAAAAATGGTTGCATTTCTGAAAACCACCGATGCTTGAAACTCATTACAAACTGAATGTAAATATTCACATTCAGGTTTGATTTGTTATCCATTTAAGACATGTTCTGATCTGTTATCTGTTTTTCGCTAAAGCACAGGAGTGGTAAATGAAGCCTCTTCCTTGATCACTGAAAGAGATCAAAGCCCCATATGCATTAAACAAAATAAATGTCATGAAAGGTAGGCTCCTGGATCTCTCAAGACCATGAGCAGTCCCTACTGTATATATACTTACCAATATGTCTTATCGTCTCTATCCATCTGGGGCGGTGGGGTAGTGGTTAAAGCGTTCGCTCGTCACGCCAAAGACCCGGGTTCGATTCCCCACATGGGCAAAATGTGTGAAACCCATTTCTGGTGTCCCCCGCCGTGGTATTGCTGGAATATTGCTAAAAGCGGCGTAAAATCAAACTCACTCACTCACTCACTCTATCCATCTGTTCAGGAAGCCCAGTAAACCAGAGAAGCCAGAGCGGAACCTGTCTCGGAATGGCACACTGGTCGTGGAGAGCCCCCTAGTGTTGGTGTCAGATGCTCTGGGATCAGGCACAGCACAGGCTGTTGGGTAAGACTTTAGTGTCTACATGAGATTGTCCAGTTAAAGGTGTCAGATTCTATGTTTTATTATGTTTGTAAACAATTGTTTTGGTGTTAAATATAGCGCATTTTGAAAGGTATATGATAGTTTCAGGTACATTTTTATGTCACTGAAACTTTGTTATTTTGAGCATAGATAATTTTTTATATTATTAGCCTAAGGATTAGTTTATTACATCAGAAGTTGGTTTGTTTACATGACTAAACATGTTGATGACAACCCACCAGCATGTGTGTGGGAACAGAAAGGTGTTTGCTAGTCAGTATTTCTCACTGTCATATTTTGAGTTGAGTGTTGTATAAATTCAATACAGTTTGGTGTTCCTAAACCTCCATTAAAAGCTGCCAACTCAAATGAACTTTAATTTATTCATGTTTTGTGGCAGAGTCAAGTTTTAAGTATTTGTATTTAATATATAGATAGTTTATAGGTTTTATTGTTTCAGCCTTGTTTAAATTTACAGGCAAAATATTAAAAGCCCTCTGGATGATACAAGCCCTCAATACAAATTAACATTGCCCCGTGCTTATGTAATTACCAATTTAACAATAGCCACCTTACCGGGTCAGGCCAGGTTCTGACCATGCACTTACACTCTGCACAAGCTTCTTTTGTCTTTCTGCTTCAGTTTGTCTGGTCAGCTTGCTATCTATTGTCCATTTAGTTTTAAAGGTTCCTGTCACATAACTTGTTGGCAGTCACATAGATCTTTTTGAGGAGGTCAGCTTGATTCATGTTCTCATTCATGGAAATCAGCCTCATACTGATTGTGAATATTACTGGGAACTTAGTGTTTTGTGTTGAGGATTTCATTATTCAGAATAATGTTATGTGATTTTGATCCTTGACTGCAAGGTTGAGCATTGGGCTCATTGCCACACAGCGGGTTTGTTATTATTATGCTTTTTGTCACCATCATTATCATGCTCTTGGAAATAAGCATGGCTGTCATCTATACCCACCAACATCTACCCCATATCCGTTACTATTTTTATGATCTTGATACAGATACCATAAAACCCCAAATATCCTGAGTGAGTGTGTTGGGTTTTACGCTGCTTTTAGCAATATTCCAGCAACATCACGGCGGGGGACACCAGAAATGGGCTTCACACATTGTGGGGATTCGAACCCGGGTCGTCAGCGTGACAAGCCGACGCTTTAACCATTAGGCTGCCCCTCCAAATATCCTGAAATGTTTGGTTAGTGTAAGATGAACTTGATCAACACTTGGTCAACACTTAACAAATACCAGTTGTGATAGGTTACTGAATCCTCTATGGTACTCTTCATTTTGACTAACATAAACTGTCTCTCCACAGAACATGGCCAGGCTCACGAGGTGGAAGTGGAGGCGTTGGCAGCAGCAGTGGCGGCGCCAGCAACCCCACATCCCGCAACAACAACCAGCAGGGCTACAACCGCATGCAGCGTACAGTGCATGTCAGCAGAGGTCGGAGGTCAGGGGTCATAGTTGGAGCACGTCCTCTTGTACCTGCTTCAGTAGTCCCTGAAGAACTCATAAATCAGGTATGTGTAACACAATGCATAGTTATGACAGAAAATCATAAAAACGTTGCTGAACTGCCATGTAGAAATGTTTACATTAAATATGTGCATTTTTATCAAATACCCAGCACTTCAGGGAAGATTTCCACCCGTAACCCCCATATTTTTTTAATCATTATTTGCCTAAGAATATACGCCTATGGGATTTAACAGGCTATACCTAACCCTAAACCTAACCCTAAAATCTAACCCCAAACCTAACCCTAAACCCCCAAAATATTCCTAATAAATAGAATACATTTCAAGCGGGGGTTACAGGCGGAACTCTTACCGCACTTCACATGTTAGTGAAAAGAGCATGTCTGTTACTCTGTTTACATATGTAATGCAAGAAAACTGGTTTGTATTTGCAGTGTCAAGTAGTACTACAAGGCAAATCACGAAACCTTATCATTAGAGAACTGCAGAGAACGGTGAGTGTATCATATGTTTTTAAGTTACAATGCCACATTATTGTATGGCTTCCAGTGTTCACATTTTTTTTGACAGTCTAGGTTATGGAGTTAAATGATAATGGCATTAAAACTTGGTGTCATCAGACGGACGTCCTGTTGAAAGAAAGTTCAGATATTATGGGTGTATTTCTTCCAGAATGTAATCAGAGGTAACACCAACTTACTGATGGTTGGAATTTATAAGAAAGCTATTTGAGTATGATGTAGAATGAATCATGGTTTATGTTCTATTGTTATGGCATCTCTCGAGATTCAAACACACACTTTTCTTTTCTTTTGAGCTGAACATCCCACCTTTCAAAGATCACTGAAAAATGTTTGATTTATAATTGTCCCCCGTCCCAACGAGGAACGGGGGACTATATTCAGCGGCGTCCGTCCTTACTTACATCCCGATTCTTGTTAACACCATATCTCATGAACTGTTGTACCCAATCTCTTCAAATTTGGTGACAGCCTACATTAGGGGATTATCCAGACACCAGTTGATTTGGGTGACCTTGACATTATTTTCAAGGTCACCATGACACTTTGACCACTTTTCAAACTCTTGATAACGCGAAATCTCATGAACTGTTGTACCCAATGTCTTCAAATTTTGACGACAGCCTACATTGGGGGATTATGCAGACACCAGTCGATTTGACCTTATCTTCAAGGTCACCACGACATTTTGACCACTTTTCAAACTTATGTAAACGCGACATCTCATAAAACATTGCACCCAATGTCTTCAATTATGTCAACAGTCTACATTGTGTGATTATGCAGACACCAGTCATTTCAGGCATCTTGTATGTGACCAAAAAATAGAAAGTAGTAAATATGTTATAAATATTCCTTTCGTTTCGTGGCGGGGACAATGCCATATCAGTGGCAAACACTTGTTCTGTGGAGTTTTTCAGACTGTGTTCAATTGACAGCTTGTCAGTACAGGAGAACCTGTGAAGGTACGGGTTAGAATATTGATCTTCAGTAACCCATGCCTGTCGTAATAGGCGACTAACAGGATCAGGTGGTCAGGCTCACTGGCTTGGTTGACACATGTCATCGTTCCCAATTGCACAGATTGATGCTGTTGATCGCTGGATTGTCTGGTCAAGACTCGATTATTTACAGACGGCCGCCATATAGCTGTAATATTGCTGAGTGCGGTGTAAAACTAAACTCACTCAGTACAGGGAAGCATTGTTTTAAAATGTATGGTTTATGGGTTGTGTCTATAATTGTTAAGATAGAATTCAGAATTCAGGGGGAAGGGTTTTGCATGGGTGGCCTAGTCTACTAAGGCTCTGCTATTTGCAGGTCAGAGTTGCACCCTTGATCGCTCCTGCAACCTAGGATCATTATCATGAGCTATTGATTACTTATTGTCTGTTTGAAATGTTTCCTTGCTTTGTCATCAGAACCTTGATGTGAACATGGCTGTGAACAACCTGCTGTCCCGAGATGATGAAGGCGAGGGGGACGAGGAAGACAGCCAGGACTCCTACATGCCCGATGACCTCATCTCCCTCCTGGACAGCGGCATGCATTCCGACCACCCCAGTGTCATCATCGATGCTGATGCCATGTTCAATGAAGACATGTTTGGCTACAGCTCACTAAGAAGTCGTGGCTCGGGCACAAGGTCCAGGCTAGGTCAGTGTTGGACTAGGGAGAGATGAATTGAGTTACAAGTGCATTAAAAGTTCCAAGTACACTGTTCCTTTTTAAGGAACTAGAATAATCACTGTCATAAAAGATGACTTTTCATCCACGAATCACTCATGACTAAGGTTCTAATATAGGAAGCATTGAAAGAGTGACCACTTGGACTTGTGTCTTAAGTAATCTGCTCTGATAGATAGTGGTTGTATTGCCTTTACACTGTTTTTCCTAGCTTAGACTCATGTCACTGACAGTTCTGTTCATAATGAAATTATGAATGTACTACTATCACTGCTATGTGCCATTACTGATGTGTCTATTTATTTCGGATAATTGTAGGTGAGCGAGATAGGGACCTTGATCGGGACCGAGAGCGGGAGTCCATCTTTCGTATACGTGACCGTCGCCGTATAGAGTCATCATTCCGCGAGGACCCTCTGAAGCCCTTAGATAGAGATAAATCAGACAATGTCAGTGGGGGAATCCAGCAAGAAGTCCACAACACCATCACAGAGCCCTCTCATTCTTGGGGAGGACTTGCAGTGGTGGTCAGCTGCTATGGTATGTATATCAGTCCTTATTGAAGCAGTCATAGTGCTGCGATTGTTGTATGTAAAGGGTCATAAGCTGCATGGGACCTTTGATTGTCTTTGTGGAAGATAGCCTTGTGTTACAGTGGCATGATGTAGAAGATATGATGTAGTTCAGTGTTTGCCATGATGCAGAAGAGGGTATTTGAGGGTCCCTGGGACTCATGCTCTGAATCTTCAGGGGTCCTGGACTACATAATGGGGGTCCCAGACACTTAAATATTATTATCAATACTATTACTATGTTGTAATATTGTTGTAATTCAGTTACTGTTATTCTATTGTGTATCATGATCATTGCATTGTTACAGTAATTAAATTGCAATCAATACCATAACCCAGCTAGTAGCAAACTCAGTAACTTATTGTTACTTGATTGGAATTTTTACCAAAAGTATTTGGACTTTTCTGTGTCCCTGTGGACGCGCTAATAAATTTTGTTGCGTCCATTGTCATTTTTATGCGTATAGGACGCAGGAATTCGCGTCCCATAAATCCCTGCATAGATAATTCAAATTATACATTAATGCTACTTGGTAAATAGTTATTGCAAGTTATGTTTGGTATGTCATAGTGCTACCAGCATTGTTATTCATTTGTAACTTTGCTGCTGATATCCTGATTCTCACAAGTGTCATTTCCCCGTGCAGGCCCAGGATGCAGATGATCCACGGTTTACTCACATCTCAGCAATGCACTCGGAACTGGTTGCTGTGGGGTCTAATGGTCGTCTGTATGGCTGGAAGTGGTCCGACCCTGATCCATACAAACATCCAGATGTGAGTTGAGCATTGTATTAGCACCTCCTAACTACTGTGTGTTGATATGTAGAAGATGTGGAAAGTATTGTTCCAAAAGTTAACAGATTATGGCACTGTTGTGTTGAACTTGGATGTGTCCAGGTTATGGGTGTTTGAAGTAAAGGTTTCGTGATGCAACAGTGTTTAACTGTAGTTATTAAGTATTTCGTTTGCTGGTTTTTGTGAAAGGATAAATGAACAGTAGGCACAAACATACTCTTATGATAAAATGAGAAATATTTCTAAACAAAAGCTGAATGACAATCCGCCATCTAATGATTTTACTCTGATAGCTGACATTTCAATGCTATCCAAAAATAAAGCTGATGCTGTATATTTGTCGACAGAACCCCATCATCCACCATGCTAAGACTGCCAGCCTTGGGCTGACCAATGAGAAGGTGACCGGCCTATCAACATGCAGTGTCCGAGCATCTGTGTGCACCGAATCTGGCAAGGTAGGAACAATGACAACACATTGTCACAACAAAGGTGAGGTGAGGTGAAATTGGGTTTTAACGTCGTGCTTGAGAATATTTCGCTCATATGACGACGTGCATGCGTGTGTATGTGTATGTGCGGCTGCTTGTACTAGCCCCAACTGAAGCTGGTTTTATAGTGCTAGCCCACTGAGATACCATGCCACAGTGAAGCATGAATACCCCACTCACTCACTCATTATACTGACTCCAACCGACCAGTCCTTGTTGTACCCATTAATGCCGAGCGCCAGGCAGGGACCAACATGTACCATATTTTAACGTCTTTTGGTATGACACAGTCTGGAATCGAACCCACGACCTTCCGCTCTCGGGGCGGATGCTGTAACCACTACACCACAGAGGCAGTCCATTGTCATAACAAGTACAGGAGGAGGCATATTTGCATCATGCCGAAAACCTAGGTTCCAATTTCTCACGGGGATAGTCGGTAAGGTCCAACTCTTGCTTTTGTAATGTTCAGGCTAAAACATTTAAACACCATGCCAGATATCCTGCCATATTCTTCGTGGGTAATTATCAACACTATGTTTCCTTGACCACTAGGTGGCGACGTGGATGGACGAAGCCCTCAGCCAGGTTGCTGTGAAGCTAGAACACTCTGCTCAAATGTTCAGTGAGTTCCAGACAGACAAGATTGTGTCCCTACACACATGCTCCCTGTATACCTGTGCCAGACTGGAGAGTGGGGCACTCTACTGGTGGTAAGCCACACCCTTCATACCATTGATAGTGCAGGACAGACAGTATTGGTTGCTTGCTTTACAAATTTGTTTTTTGAAAAATCCTAAGCTGTAGGTAACTAAACAAAAATGGGACGCATTAAGATTTCCTGAAATTACATGAATATGTTGCGAAGTTAGTTGGTCTTGAGGCATTGTTACACCTATTGTAACCATGTGCCTGACAGTAAATGTTTGTTACCATCTTAGAGCCAGAGCGCCTTTGAGCGGATTACGGATATTGGCGCTATACAAGTATTTGTATGTATGTATGTATGTTATGTTAGAATATTAATACTGCTTTCGGTTCACTTTTTCACCCTTTTTTCGTTTTTCTTTGCTCGAAGGAAAGTGTGAAAAATGACTTGAGTATTCTATTGCTCATGCAATAGTACCTTGTATATGCTACTCATAAAATATTTACTTCTGACATTCATTTTTTGTGGCCAGTTCTTGCAATATGTATCTCAAAGCAAGTAGGACAATGAAAGTTAAGCTTGTAGTAATACAAATGAACAGAGGTGAAGTTTATTGTGTGAGATGTGTATAATAATACGTTTGTCTGATCCACAGGGGTGTGATGCCATTTTCTCAGAGGAAACGTCTGTTAGAAAAAACAAGATCAAAGAAAAAGAAATCCAAGGAATCATCAGGAAGCACAGAAATTGGTACTGGTTCACTGGTGAGTGAAAAAATACACTGGAAACACACCCTTCAGCCTCATTACTATAAACTTAGTATCATTATCAAATCCCATTTGTTAGATGAAAGCTAATGATATCAGTCGTATTGTATGGATCGGATTCAATTGATTACACACCCCTGTTACAAAGCTATGATTATTGCTGCAAACTGCAAAATAAATCCAATAAATGAACAAAACAAAACACAATGGGAAACCTTTCTATATGGTCTTAAATGTATGTTAATGATATGTATTATAGGCAAAGTTTGTTAAACATAATTTTCCATTCATGTCCATGAAGTAAGTGTGATCTTTGAAACCAGTTCCCTATGTAAGCAGACATATATGCAGAATTCTTTTGAATGCCAATGCCACTGCCAAAGAACTAGTTCTTTTTGTTTCTCAGCAAGTCTTTTTATAAGAATGTATATTTGCCTGAATGAACATGAAGATAAATGTGAAAATGTTTGTGTAGGTATGTCTGCGAAGTGCCCCAATGTACCATGCTGGAGCCATGGCCTTCACTACAGTCGATGGTGTCCCTAAGGTGGGGGTGCTGCTGGAGTCCGCATGGTCCCTAGCAGACACCTGCAGGTTTAGACTGAAAACACAAGTCAGGTGAGTACAGGGACAGTGTTCAGTGAGTGGTTCATGAGATGGTTTGATCATTATGAGAGAGTTGATGGAACAGCACAACAATGCAGTTAGTTTCTGAACAAACCTTTTTGGAAAGGTTAAAAATGTGTAGCACATTTGGGTCCTAGAAAGAGATGTTTTTATTGAGATTTCTTCTGGTTTCAGTGAAGCAAGGCCAGATTTTCGGCCAGAGATCAAAGTCCCGGACAGTAAGCTGGAGATGCCACCTCCATCACCTGCGTCATCAGTGGGAAGCGAACACAGTAGTGCCTCACTCACCACACCCATGTCTCTCAGTGAGTCTCAGCTTCCTTCAGTACTGACCCTATTCAATGCACGGTCAAGATCATTGGCATCTTATGAATGACATGCTGATAGTTATTATAAACTGTTGTGTATTTCTTTACCACAAATTGAGAAATGTGACAATCGCCAAAATTGCAACTCTCTTACTTAGTCCTATGATACAGAAATAGCTTATCTCGGGCTTGACCTTCTTTATAAGAATCATGTACCTTAACCACAGAAGGAAAGGTGGCCCAGTGATCTACACCAAATAAGTTCACTCTTGCCAGGGTCCGTTTGCTTTTGGATTCAATTCTCTGATTTGAATCCTTGGCCTGCCAGCTCCCTAGCAGTGCACAGAAATTAATCCAAGGAAAAATATCTCTGACTTTCTCACTTTCGACTTTCTTCCCGACATGAAACAACATAATTTAGATTCATGAGAGGCCCCTCATTGTGGTGTTCAGTTATGTGTTAAGTATGCTTTGGTTCATGAAGCTTGCCTTCCCTTACTGCAGAGCGTAAGAAGGCTCCGACTCCATCCCGTGAGGAGGACAAGAAGGAAGAGGAGAGCTGGGCTCTGAAGAATGTTGTATTTGTGGAGGACATCAAGACAGTCCCGGTCGGCAAGGTCCTCAAGGTGGGTGCATGCTGGTCATGAAGGTGACACTCACAGACACTCTGCAAATATTCATTAACCATGAATATTTGGCATGTGACCTTTCCGTCAAAAGTCAATACTCTGGTGTATTTTCCACAACTTTAAAGGACAATTTCTGGTGAAAAACACCAGATATTTTAAAGCTTTAGAAGTTCTCAGCTTCACTGTTATTTTTGGCTATGAGTCATAACATACCTCTAAAATTGTGTCAAGAAATTATTAGGCCATTTTTGAAGGGCAATGTAACCTATTCACACAGCCGCCGTGATATTGCTGGAATATTGCTGAAACTAAACTCACTCACTTTTCACTCAGTACATAGTTATTGACATACCATACTGATTATCTTAATCCATTAATGTTTTTAAGACATAATTCATTTAGAGGCTATTGATGCACATAGTTGGAAATGTTTGAAAATGATGTTGATGGATGTAAAGTTAAATGAATTATGATAAACGTGTACAACAATTGTCACTCAACAACTGTGTCCTTTTCCATCTTCAGGTGGATGGTGCCTATGCTGCAGTGAAGTTCCAGGTGAAAGACACTGGGGATCTGTCTGCTCCCATTCCTGGGCGCGGTGGCAGCAGCAGCAGTGGGGGCGAGGATGTCAGTAGCCTCCTGCAGGACTGCCGTCTACTGCGTAAGGATGAGTTACAGGTGGTGAAAGGTTCCAGTTCCCCACGGATTCCAGACTGTTTCCAGAAGACCCCCAAGAAAGTGACAGTGGTGGAGAATGCACACATCTTGTCTGTCTCTGTAGACTGTGATGGTGAGAATATTTAGTGAAATAAGTTTTAAAAAGGCAGTTAATTAGGGATGTGGTGGACTCTAAACAGTGTCAGATTGTATAATTGTCAATGTCATGGCAATAATGATTGCATATATGCAGGATGTCACTCCTGCTTAGACATTGAATAATGAGAACATTAGGATCACCGATCTATTTACTCTTGTGGTTTTCTCTTATTCAGATATCTTTTTATGGTTGAAATTTTTATACAACGTTGAACTTCGTTATCATACTTCTGTATGCATTTTGCGGAGAGTATAAAAATGGGCGCTGCCCTTTATTGTCTGAGCAGATTTTGGAAACTGTCAGTATTTTTTCACCAAACTTGTCATGTAGATAGACCTGGCGATGAATTGGTGCCTTTTGATAGTTTGGTATTTTTTAGAGGTATGTATTTCGAGTTTCCATTGCAATTTTTTTTTGACTTTTTACAAGAGTTGTAAACATCTGAAACCTGCAACAGTTTGGGCTTTCCATCAAGCAGGCTGTGATAGAGACAACTTGATGTACATTGAGCTGTGTATTGCAGGTATCCATGTGATAGCTCGGTCAGGGTCCCGCCTCAACTACTTGGTGTACAATCTCAGCTCAGGCAAGGTGGAGCAGAATTGCCTCTTCCCTACTGATGCCAGCTCCTTCTTGGGTCTGGGGACATCAGACATCAAGCTGCACAACAGCGGCAGTGTAAGTAGTCACAGCTGATATAGCTTGTTCATGTGATTTATGTGATTTACCCAATTGTTCTGAAGGGTCAGTATAACTCCTCAGTAGCCACTCTTAACTAAAGCATTGATCAGATGGCCACAGTCTATGCTTTGTTAGTGTGTTGATCAACCTTGACATTCACGATTGTTGCTCATGCCATCAACCACTGGTTCACTAGGATGTGATCATTTCCCAAACCGCTGTTAAGTAGGTGCAGTACCCCAGAATACAGCATTTAACATTACTCTGTACACGTCAACATACTATGATGTTACCTGAATTTCAAACTTTATAACAGCATGTTACCTTACTTAACATTAATAACTCGAACTCTTGAAGAAATTAATGTGACTAGTAAGTGCTTTCATCACAAGGCTTCCCCACATGGGTACAATGTGTAAAACCTTATTTCTGGTGTCCTCCGTCATGATATTGCTGGAATATTGCTAAAAGTGGTGTTAAACCATACTCACTCATCACAAGGCATATCCAAAGCTATATCTATGCATTTATAAATCTTGACTGAAACGTATAAGATAACTTTTTGTAGATACATGTAGATATTATTACATGTACACTGTAGATGACCTGAAGACAGGACACGTTTCTGTGATGTCAAATGAATCTGAATCTGTGTTCATACGATATTGATGTTGCAGCAGGATGTGCCGTCACCTCTACAAGATGGAAATGGTGCCATCTACCCAATGGCTAAGGACTGCTTGGAAGGTATCCGGGATCCGATGTGGCTTGATCTGCCTCCAGTCCGGTGCCTGAACGTCCGAGTACAGTCACTCAGCAACACTGGAGCCAACATGAAGAACAGAGCAGCAATAATAGCACTAGCTGTACAGGTACTTGAACAGTTGGTTCACCCAGATAGGGTCTGTTAGTCAAGGTGAAGGGGCAGTTGAGGGAGCAGTGGGGTTGTCGAAGGCCTGTCTGATTCCTTCCATAGATGGGTACAATGTGTAAAGCCCATTTCTGGTGTTCCCGCCATGATATTGCACGAATATTGCAAAAAACTTTATAAAACCTAACTCACTCACCTTATAGTCAAGGTTGATGTTGGGATCATTGTACTCGTCACATTGCTTGTAATTTCCTTCCGTGGCGGGGGCGGTAGGGTAGCCTAATGGTTAAAGCGTTTGCTCGTCACGCCGTAGACCCGGGTTCAAATCCCCTAATGGGCACAATGTGTGAAGCCCATTTCTGGTGTCCCCTGCCATGATGTTGCTGGAATATTGGTAAAAGCAGCGTAAAACTAAACTCAGTCAGTCAGTCCGTGGCATCCAGATTAGAAGTATATGTCAGGGAAAATAATATTTGGTAGTCTCATATTCCTAACAAGTAACAGTTGTGTGACTTTGAAGGTGTATGATCAGTATTCCAAATGTAAATAAATGATGCTCTGTGTACTTCTAAAAATAGCAATGAAGTTGTTCACGAAAAAAGACATTGAAAAACAATTGAAATGGTAAACAGATGAACTAACAACAATGGGCTAATGACAAATAGCTACAATTACTGGAAAATCATTGTTATTTCATGCAGATATTACCAACAGGGACTAGAAAGTGTAGGCACCCCCTGCCTCTGTGATATAACTAGTATATTGCTGCAGACAGAAAGTGTGTTGTCTGTTTCGAGATGACATTGATAAAGCATGTGTCAGGTCCAATTGATTTAAATGATTATATGTTTGGTGATAAAGTTTTGACTACGGTGTCAATATGGTGTAGCTAATAAGTCTCATTGCTTTCAGCACCAAACACTGTTACCACATATCCTGCGCTGTGACGTGGACCAGGTGAAGACTATCCTGACTGCTGTAGAAGAAGATGTTAGTGAGTAACTACTGTAACCTATTCTTGTGGTTGGTATGTTTAGGAAAATACGGATGTTTTCTGGTTATATCGGAATAAAAACATCACAGTCAGTTGTGTATCATACAGTTGTCTTTCATTGTATGCCAGTACATAATCTGAAGTGTTTTCTGTTTACTGCTTGTCAGTAAACAGCATCTTCAGCGCAGGTTTATGTTCATGTCTTAACTTAATCTCATTCTGATCTTCAGATTCAACCAGCCGAGAGCAAAAACTCCAGGAAATTATTCGCGAACACTGTGATGGAAGTCGTAATATCCTCCACACAACTGTTGCCATGTGTGTGCCAACTTCCAACAAAGACTATGATTCAGGTAAGTCACATGTGACATGGTGGAACTCTAGACCCTTATAGGAAAAGGCTGGTTTCCCATGAGGGAATCTGATGGTTTTATTGGAATATGGATGAACTACCTCATAAGAGCTTAAGTATAACTCTGTGGTAATTCAACTCTGGACAAAGTCCACAGGCAAGCTATGTTTTTGTACTACATATTGTAACATTTCTGATAGTTGGGATTAGTTGTGCCTCAATCTGGTCATTTACAGGAGCCAAGCCTGAAGGTGGAATATTGCTGACTGCCATGTTCAACAGCAAACAAACCGTCACTGTATTACATAAAGGCATGTGTGTTTTATATTACCTTCAGACACTCCCCCTGGTGGAGGCAATAGCTTCAGCTCCACCCTAGAGGCCATCAATGCTGTAAGCAATGCTGTGGATGCCCTGGCTTCTATACAGTCTCGGTCAGGGGACTCCGGCAGTCGAAGGTGGGGAAATTATGTGTACCATCAGCTCATTAAGTAATTTTGCATTTGGTTTTTCTTTCAGAATTTTCATTATATCCCTTGTTATTTTGTGAAATACTTGGATGCCAGGGTCCCCTTTCACAAAGCTCCCGTAAGCCTAAGATCTCGTAACTTTTCTCGTAGCACTCGTACGTCCTATACTGTGATATAGAGGTGCAATGCTCTGAGAAATCAAAACGGACCCAGGTCTTATCTGTAACTCAAATGTAATATCAATCTATCAAAATGTTAGAAGACACTGCATAGGGATTTGGTATTGTATCATAATAATTCACAAGCGTTCACTATTTAGTTTTGCCTGTGTACCATTCCAGGCTCAAACAACTGTTAACTAGCGTGGAGTTTATGCCTACCAATGACTATTTCAGTATGAGCGTTCGTGAGTTAATCCGTCGGGCATCTTCAGCAGCAAGGGGTGTGAGTGGCCTGGAGGCTCGGGACCCTGACAGGGAGGATTCTGGAATAGCAATACCTACCCTTAACTGGCCAGCAGATCCCCCAAGCTATGACTCCCTGCATTCTGGTAAGAACATGTTGATATAGAATCCTGAACTGAAACGTTTGATATTATTGTCACTTGAAGTTAGGTTTTAAAACGGGACAGAGGTCTTGTTGTTTATCAAATGTATCATGTGAGTACATGTTGTATCTGATGTATTGTTTATACACTTCTTCTTAATTGTCATTGACATCTACAGATGCTGAGAGGCCAAGTCTGTCTCGCCAGTCTTCAAGCAGTCTGCCAGGGAGCCTAAGCTCCCTCCATCTGCCTGAGTTCAGTACTGTCAGCGTCCCACCAGTCCGTCTTGAGGACAAGGAGAGGCGAACCAATGCTGTCCAGATACTAAAACTGCTGTGTGACAGTCCCCTGTTACAGCCACACCTAGTGGAGCTGCTGTCTTCAAGGTAAGCAGTAGTAGAACATGCTTTGTGGGACTGCCATATTTTTCAGCCACACCTATTGAAGCTGTTATCAAGAATTACTGATTACATACGTTAGTAAAGTGTAAAACAGAAGGCACCTTGTAAATACTACTTCAAGTGTTAAGTCCAATCCTGAATAGTTGTTAGTCAGAACTCATTGAGTCCCTTGTGCTGTACAGGAATGCTGAGGGCTGCACACCGTTCATGCAGGCAGTCCGAGGTAGGGCATATCCTGCTGCCCTCACCCTCCTGGATGCAGCCAAGAAGAAGGCTACAGAGGATGTACCGGAGGTGGACCGGAATCTGCTGATGAAGATGATCTACCCCCAGGGCTCCAGCCTGGACAACTCCCCGCTACAGGTTGTGTGCTGTAATGACACCTGCAGCTTCACCTGGACCGGGGCGGAACATATCAACCAGGACATCTTTGAGTGCCGCACATGTGGACTGACAGGCACCCTATGTTGCTGCACAGAGTGTGCCAGGGTCTGTCATAAGGGACATGACTGCAAGTGAGTCTCCGGTGTAGGGTTGGATTGATTGATTGATTGATTGATTGGTTAGACACACTATTCTAGAACTAAGACCTTTAAGTGAATATTTTTTTTAATTATTAAGCTGGAACGGCGTCTCTACATTTTATGATCACTGAAAATTGTGTTTTCATCCAATTATGTTTGGGTAGGTGTGAACCAATGGTTTTAGTCGAAGTGCAGAGTTCAGTTCTTTATGAGCTAATCATTGGATTTCTGAATATATTTGATCTGTCAGTGCCATACTCATCAGTGATGGAAATAGCTCTTGCCTGGACCAGGTTTTGTAATGTTTAATGTGTCCACATGGCTAATTTCAAGCATTTTAGGGGGCATTGCTATATGTCACTGTTTGGACAATGTGGCCATTCTTCGTTAGTTTCTTGGTTTCTTGATTGCAAGTCGTAAATATGACCTGTGTGTCTTAGTGTTTTACCCTTCAAATGAAGTGAACACAACATGATTTAACTGAAAAACGTTTTATATAGTCTTAACATAACCCAAGCTACTAACCACATACTCAAAATATGGTTCAAGATTTTCATGGTGAGCTCCTATGAAGATATTGTGGACATTTGGTGTCTGTTCTAGACTGAAGAAAACGTCCCCGACAGCGTACTGTGACTGCTGGGAGAAGTGCAAGTGCAAGGCACTGATTGCCGGACAGCAGGGGGCCAGACTCACGCTCCTCAACAGGCTCCTTACAGAGACCGATCTTGTCACACTCAATAACAGCAGGTAATACAGCATACAGAGAGGTGTCAGCCCATTGCTGCTAGACAGCTCCTGAATTGCAGATTGATTGCATAACTAGTCAGGACATTGTTGTGTTAACTCTCTAGTGGTGAGGTTAAGATCATACAGCTGATTCAGTAGATTTTTTAACTGTTGTAATTTCACTTCATGAGTGCATTGATGTAATATTAGAGGTTGTAAACGTCCTTGTTAGGCAAGTGATGAAATTGGCAGTACAGGCTTTTAGCAGCAGCCCTAGATTTGCCACTTAGCAAGAACTGTATGTGACTATGAATCAGCAAGTTTGTATAGTGTAAGTGCCTATGAGCAGAGTTAACAAGTCTCTGATATTTTACAGAGGGGAGAACATCCTGCTGTTCCTGGTGCAGACAGTTGGACGGCAGATTGTGGAACAACGTCAACATCGGCCATCTCGAACACGTGTCACAACATCCCGGAAAACTCCCATGTCAGATCTAGGTAAGTTTTACAATCCTAACTATATGTCAGAGACATTTCACAACACTCAAACATCAAGCCATTCACAGCTAATAATAATTTGTCTTCATGAATCATAGTGGCGGACAGCTCCCCATTGCAAAGGATAAGTGATTCTCTGTAGTACAGGAGATATTCTTGTTGCCCCCAGATGTGGATATGCCTGAACATGACCTAGAGCCGCCACGCTTCAGTCGCAGAGCACTTGAGCGGATCCTTAATGACTGGACAGCGGTCAGGGGCATGATTCTAAGTGGAGACAGACAGCAGGGTGCAAGGTTAGTTGCCTCCACGATGATGGGTTTGATGTCATTTTACACATTGGTTTCTTAAAATTCTGGGTGATTTCAGAGGTTGATTAATATGGATTCTCTCATCAGAATCTCAATGTAAATTGGATGAGGGGTTTTATTTTACAGAAAATGAGGCTATTTACATCATAATTGATTTGACAAAATCTGTAGGCAGAAGTTGTGGTCTTGTAGACTTAATATTAATGTGAATCTCTTGTGGAATTTGTTGGAAAGAATCATTGATGCACCAATATATATTGGTGAATCATGACATCTGTAGTAGTTTAACATTGTGTGTAGCCATCATCTATATTTGATCATTTGATGCTGTAATTCATGTTCTCCTCCAGCAACAGCAGCCCTGATGCTGTGTATGAAGACCAGATGTATCTGGGGAGTCAGAGCGGCACCACCAGACTGGACAAGTTCACCCACTGCCTGCTGGTCAAGTGCAGTGTGGAGGTCAGTCATGCCCAATGGTGATGGGTGTACATTATATAGTAACATTCATGCATGTTATATTGTGAGGATTGTCTAAAATTAAATAACCGAAAGTCTTGTTCTTGTATCGTCTGTGAATTTTTCAAGCTGCCATCTAGATTTCATACTGACATGTATTTATGACAGATGCTCGACACCCTACTGACAACACTGATCAGGGAGATGCAAAATGAGTCTATACCGAATCGCAAAGAGGAGGCAAAGCAAGTTGCTAGACGATTCATCCGCTCTGTAGCAAGAGTCTTTGTCGTTCTCAACATCGAGATGACCCCTGGCTCCAGCAAGCGGAGAAGGTAAGTTACACTTACAGAAAGTTACAGAAAGGTGTCCAGGTAAAAACTGAACCATATCCTCTTTTGGTGGCTTCAACTTGTAAATGCCTACTACTGAAATATGACTGAATAGTGCTCAAAGCCCAACTCCATTACTTCGAACATATTGTGATATGTCTGGAATCCTACATAATGTAACATAATTACAAATAGGATGATACACTGCAGTCATGTCTCATTTGGTATCCTTGCATCGTAGGCACATTGTGTAAAGGTCACTTTTTTGACGTCTTCAAGTGTTGTATAACCACCCAACGATAGGTCTGACAGGTGTGGGGTAGCCTTGTGGTTAAAGCATTGGCTCATCACACCGAAGACCCGGGTTCGATTCCCAACATGAGTACAATTTGTGAAGCCCATTTCTGGTGTCCCCCACCGTGATATTGCCGGAATATTGCTAAAAGCGGTGTAAAACTAAACTCAGTCAGTCAGTCTGACAGGTATGTGAATGTTATGTTATTCAGCCCAGGCCTAGCTAACTGCCAGCCCCTCCCCCGATGTAAAAGAGCATTCCAAGCCCTGGTGACCATCAGCGTGGAAGAGCTGTGTAAGATAGCGGAGTCCCTGATCACCCCTGTGAGGATGGGAGTGGCCAGACCCACAGCTCCCTTCTCCCTAGTGTCAGCCAACGTGGAGGCGGTACAGGTAAGTCTTTACAGAGTACACTAGTGCTGTGATGCTGGACGACTCATAGCTTTGTTGGCACTAGCATTAACTAGATATAGCAGCTTTATTCTTCGTGTAATTTGTGGGTTGTTGTGAAAATAATAATCATGTTTCATCTGGAACCCAGTGGTTAAAGCATACGCCAGATGTGTTGCCTACATGGGTAAAATTTGCTGTCCATTTCTGGATGTGATAGTGCGTGAATATTGATGAAAGTGGAACAAAACCATTTTCCCTCATTCCATACAGTACTCGTGGAGAAAGCTGAAGTGGAGTGATGTAAATTCAAAGTGTAAGTCTTCTTTTGAAGACATTATGTAACTTCAGATGTTTTTGAAACAAATTTTGATGTGGATTTCCATTAAGACTAACCTGTGAAGATGTAGGTAAGAATGGATCTTCAACATGACTAACAGGATGAGATACTCAAGCTGGCAGATTTTGTTGACACATGTCATTGTAACCTAATAAAGTAGATTGGTGCTCATGATGGCAGCCACTGGATTGTCCGGTCCAGACTCGATTATTTACAAACCACCATCATATCGCTAGAATATTTCTGAGTGCAGTGTTAAACAACAAACAAATCATTAAGATTACTCCATCACTAAAGTATACTGATTCCGATTTACTCTGTGTTCAGGGAAGTGAGGAGCTGTTCAGTGTAGACCCACTGCCACCACGACCATCTTCCGCAGATGCAGAGGCACCCCCGATACCATTCCTTCCTCGTTCTCAGTCACCGCTGCCCCAAGTCATCAGACAGGACGGGTAAGGGAACAAGACATGGATGAGATCGTGTCGGCTGAGGCAGAGGAGGTAGGGAGATATGTGTGTGGTTGTGTGACTCATCATCATCATCATCATCTTCACCATCATCACCATCACCACAGTTGTCATCTCCATCCTCATCGTCCATATGGTCTCATCCTCTGATGTTTTTGATCAGATTATCTCATGCATCACCTATTGATTATTAGACTCACCTGGTTCATTGTTTTATGTAAAATGGGTTCAGCTGTTTGACAGTTTGTTGCCCTTATGATACACAACCTACCTTGTCACGCCAAAGACCCGGGTTTAATTCCCCACATGGGTACAGTGTGTGAAGCCCTTTTCTGGTGTCCCCTGCTATGATATTGCTGAAATATTGCTAAAAGCAGCGTAAAATCATACTCACGCAGGTGCTCACCTATGCTGACTACTGTCATGAATACATCCCCAGTATAATCGCGTAAAATACAACCAAGTGCAGATCATATGCCTACAGTGTGTTGCCTGGCCGATTCATGGCTGTTGGCTAATACTGTTGACCACTAACTTGTCTAGTACAGATTAGATTATTTAGATTACTGGTTATCAGGGTAGGTGGAGATTGTGACTAGAGTAACATGTTTGACAGATGTGTTTGACCTGGATGTGTACGCAGGTTGAGATTGTTGACAACATGGCAGTGGTGGAGGACGACCAGTCAGATCATGAGGACAGACAATCTGAACACTCTGACCATGATGGCGATCAGCCGCCAGTGGACCAGGAAGAAGGTGAGTGTTGAGGGGAGGTGATGTATCTAGGGCTGAAACTGAAGTGCAAAAAACATGCTTCCTTCACATCTTTAAAAGTTTGAAATTGAACAGTTAGCTAGCAGCAGGTTGTCATTAGTTTCTTTTAAAGTTATACTCAGGCGATTAAGTGATACACAACCAGATGTAAATTTTGACAGTTACTTATGCCGCTCTATACATATGTATGGAAGGTATGTAGGTTTGAAAGGACATGTTTTGTTGTGAGTTATGAGTGAGTGAGTTTAGTTGTACGCCGCACTCAGCAATATTCCAGCGCACTCAGTCGGGTCTTCCAGACAATCCACTGATCAACAGCATGAGCATCGATCTCTGTGGGAAAATGAATGTGTCAACCAGGTCTGCACCAGACAATCTTATGTGGATGGCAAGCCTGAAGACCTTTTCTACCCCAGATCTTCACGGTTTTGTTCTGGGTTATGAGTGTGGCTACATGGTATCAGATGGTCATGTTTACAGTGCTTCTCTCCACAGGTCAGGCTGAGAGTGACATGGATCTGGATCTCCTGGCCGAGTCTGAGAGTGACAGTGACAGTAGCCGTAGTAACCAGGACAATGCCAGCGTGCAGCGCAGTGCTGTCACGGCAGCAACTGCAGGATCTGATGCAGGTTTGTGGAAACATTACAGATTGAGAACACAATCAAAGCTACTTGACTTGTTCATTCACATGATGATCATTTTCTTCCTCGGTCTCTGTTCTTTATTCAAAAGTTCAGCACTTCCTTATCTTATGTTAAAATCTATATTAACGTGGTCAATAGAGTGAGAAATCTGTTTGTTGAGTTCGTTTTGTTTGCTAAGAGTGACAGGAATGTTGCGACAATTACAACAGCAAGGTGTTATCCTGGATGTGTCTCTCCTGTCTGTTGGAGACTTTGTTTTGCTGAAAGACTCAAGATATACAGACAGACCACTTCACGATAAAGAGGGTTTAGTGGTTTCTGTCTGTGACTACCTGATTGTGTGCTATTACAACTGGCATGGGTTATTGTACTGGCCATCAAACCTTGGGTTGCCTGGTTAAGACATCTGTGATATGGCTGGAATATTGCAAACTGGCATAAACAACATTTAGTACCTTCTGTGCCTGTGTTACAGGTCTAGGATCTCTGGCTCACTTCTCGGAGGACTCCGGAGAATCCTCCAATCAGGAGGATGACTATGAGAGTGAGGGAGGTGAAAGTGAAGAACACGACACTGATGAGTTTGTCTATCTGGATGAGCAACTGGAACGTCGAAATCCACCTGGTGAGTTAAAGAGATTTGTCATGTGTTTCACCTGCAGTGCTCTCTTGAGGGCATGTTGAGCATAGCAGTCTTAATGTTAGTCCTGTTCACGTGTAGACAATCATACTAGTGTTGTAAGAGTATCTCTAGTGTTGTAACTGTTTTACTTGTGATGTAATAGTCTTACTTGTGTTGTGTCAGTCTTATTGGTGTATTTGGCTTAGAAGCTGAGTAGTTCTTGCTGGCTGACTCAAATGAGGATGAGGCTGTTATATATTTACCTGGCTTATGTAACTGCATGTTCTTCATCTAATCGATGACATGAGCTCATTGTGATCCTCCTTGTGTGACTTCAGGTTCCCATGGACAGCGCACCTTGCAGCCACCCCAGACGATGCAGTGGGCTATCCGTCAGCGTGAACCAAGTCTCAACCCACGTGTACCCACAACAACAGCTACAGCCAACAGCACTGGTATGGAACTCGTTTTGATTCAGGATTGACCTTGCGTATTATTGCCTATTGGGTTCTTTAGACAAACCCCTTTTACTACTTGTGTTATGGGTCTTTTTGTCAGTTTTAGTCATTAGCCATTAGCCTTATGTGTTGGGGCGGTGGGGTAACCTAGTGGTTAAAGCGTTCGTTCGTCAAGCCGAAAACCCAGGTTTCGATTCCCCACATGGGTACATTGTGTGAAGCCTATTTCTTGTGTCCCCGGCCGTGATATTGCTGGAATATTGCTAAAAGCGGCGTAAAACCAAACTCACTAACTCTTTTTGTGTTATTTTGCTGATCGTGAAGATCCGGGTTAAAATTTATCTTCAGCCACCCATGCTCGCTGTAAGAGGCTACTAATGGGGTCGAATTGTCAGGCTTGCTGACTTGGTTGACACATCGTATTTCAATTGCATAGATCGCTGCTCATTATGTCAATCACTGTATTGTTAAGTCCAGACTCGATTACCTCAATAACTTGCAGACCAGCATCAAACAAACAAACAAATTATGCATAACATGGGTCATTTTCATTGTATTGAGTTGTTGAACATTGTTGAATCAGTAACCACTAGTGACTAGTTTAGAGATTCTTGCACACTACATGCCTTATTAAAGTATGGTTGTCCAAATGGAAATGCCTACACAAGTGTATTTTCCCACTAGAAGGAGAGCGCCTGATCCAGCGGTCAGCTGTGTCCCTCACCCAGTCGTCCATCCCCTCCTCCACCAGCAGGACAACTAGAAGGGTGGGAGCAAACTCCGTCGATAACTTCTCGGGTAGGTCTTGTACATACATGTAACCACTTGCAGTTCAATGCACAGCCATCAGAGCTCCAGATAATATCTAGCTCATGTGGGTACTGTACCCACTGTATTTTTTTGGAGTGGGTATTATGAATGTTGAGTGGGTATTTCATTTTCCGTTACCCACTGCTTTCAAATATGTGCGTATTTCAGTCATTTTACTCACCTAAGTATTACGTCATTGAGTAAATTTACTGAGCTTTTATGTTCTTCCTTATATCATACCTAATCAAAACCAACTTAAATATAATGGAAATGATTTCATAAAATATCACTCATCCTATACCGACAGTAACAGTACAACTTGATAGCAATCGATGTCTTTTTCATTTCGCAAGCGATTTTTATTAGTATATTCCGCACAGATTTTTTTAAACCTTTTTTCGTATCTAACATTTTAAATGCGTAATTGGTATGCAACAATTATTTTTCAATGCGTAATTGGAAATTTTCTATGCGTATTTTACCCAGATACGCAGCTTATCTGAGCATCTGGCCATTGTTAACCCTCTCATTCACTTCAAGACAGGGTGGCATGGGTGGCCCTGTTGCCATAGTGGCTCAGTTTAGTGTCGCTGTTGTGTTTCTTTTCAATGCTAAGTCTTGTGAGATTTGTTGTATCTGTCAGCAACATACCTCTACTCACAGGTTTCACAAATGACACCCTGCACTTAAGTGGACTTCTATGTCGTCATACAACTGAAATAATGTATGTAGCCAGTTTTAGCCCACCTCACTCACGGATAGAAGCTACCATAATGTCAGTTGTAGAAATTAATAGGAAAAATCAGTCGAACAGAAAGACATAAGCAAACTCACCCCTCAAAAAGAAAAAGGTTTCAAGTTCTCAAGCCACTGGGCTTGGTTAATTGTTGGTATTTGTTTCCTGCAGGTGGCAGTGGTTTGATTTACATTGACCCCTCCACACTCCGTCGCACCACTACTGTGACTACAGCAACGCCAACAAACCAGGATAATGCTGTAACTATGGCAACTACAGTGGGACAGTTAGCACGAGCATTTGGTATCATTATACGTCAGATAACTGACATGCTGAACACACTGCCAACCTACGCTGCTACAGCACCCCTGCCATGTGTTCTCAATGTGACGGAGCAGGACGCAGCAGATTTGCAGGTAATATCATCTTCCTGATGGTCACAGATATGTTGATAGGATGAATTTGCCTCATATTTGCCAACAATGTCCTTAGCTTGCCTTGGTTAACCTGACTATTAAGATGGGGATCAGTGAAGTATCTTCATGGGTCAGACAGCACAATAATGATGTGCCCTTGTTTTTGTGTGATGAATTCTTTGTGTCCTCAGTTTGGCCAAGCAATCTGCTGCAACTTAAGTCACCAGTCTGGGTATAGTAAGATGTCTTCTGTTAAGTAGCAAGTCATAATAACCCATGTTTCAACCTGCCAGACACTAGACAGTGCTACAGGTGTAGTGTTGGGCAAGTATAAAACTATTGCATATATCCCAAATGGTCGAGTTTTACCTTACCTGATGCTGCACCTTAAAGACTGTGTAGCATCAAGTAAGGATAAAACCAGTTCATTTATCCCAAGATGCTTGTATGTTAGTGTTAGAAATTATTATAAATGTTGCCAAATTAGATGTTAGACAAATGATCACAAGTAGACTCCAACTATTTGTTGCACATGCTACCCTCAAAGCTAACGTAAGAGGCGACTAACGGGATCAGGTTGGTCAGGCTCACTGGCTTGGTTGACACATGTCATCGGTTCCCAATTGCGCAGATCGATGCTCATGCTGTTGATCACTGGATTGTCTGGTCCAGACTTGATTATTTACAGACTGCCGCCATATAGCTGGAATATTGCTGAGCGTAAAACTAAACACACTCACTCACACTCAAAACTAACATGATAATCAATGGGTAAAGAACTAGATATAGTCATGAAATGATCAGTTGAAAGTCAGCCATACAGCTAGTCCTCACCTGGTGTGCTTTTCCCTGCGTAATCCTATTTGTTCCCATCCAGTGTTGGGTGCCAGCACCTTCACTTTATGCCCTTATTACAGTCCTACTTGGAGCGTCACCTTAAGCTCACCTGGGACTGGCTCATCTCCGTCATGGACTCTACAGAGGCACAGCTGCGCTTCGGCAGTGCCCTCAGCAACAACACCGACCCCGCCATGCCCACACATCCCAACTACTCCAGCTACATGAGGAACACCAGGGAGAGGCCCAACCGAGAATTCTTTTCAGAGATGCGTCCTTGGGGTACATATTATGCATTTCCGGCTGAAAAATGTCCTGTGACAGTTGTATCAATGTTTTTGAATAAAAGATTGTACAATAAATAAACTCTTTTATTTATTATCACGGACCCTACCTCGCGGAGTTACCTCCCTTAAGCATGCGCACCAACTGGGTAGGCTCCTAGACCCGTATCATCATTCCTTCTGCTGTCGCGGCCGTGAACAGGCGTGTTTGATAACCCATTCATGAGCCCGTGCGAGCTGTTAAAAGATATGTCTGAGACACCACCTGTATGTATGGTCTTTATTTGTCTAAAACAAGAACAGTAAAGCTTTACAGTTGGTTGTTTCATAATTGTGACTTTGTATTAATACTAAATCTGCGAACTTTCCGTGGTTACATGCGTGTTGCTCTGCCATGGCGGGAAGTTTAGCGTGCCATGTGGTCGTAATATTGCGTATTAAAACCAACTATTACTTTCCGTGGTAACCTTCGCGTAGTTTTCAATGTTTTCTACGTGTTTATATGCTGCTGGCGCCGTTCACTAACATGCGTTTGCGTGTTTGTTTCAGGCCTTTTCATGCTGTTAGGTCTGTGAGGGGGTATCCCCGGGCGACAGTCATCACGAGTTGCGTGGCCTGTCTGGAGAAGACAGGCCATGAGGCTGACTCCTGTCCTATTTGTCTGGCCTTTTCCCCGGGCCCAGAAGAGGCGGGCTGCCGACACCTTGTTCTATCGCTTGAAATCGTGGCGGGGAGGGACCTGGCGCAGGTTCCCCGTCTAAGTCCAAGCGTGTGTCAAAAGGGAAAAAATCCGTGGCCCTTCCCCTCTCCTGCCACCAGTGGTTTTGACATGTCACTGATGGAGTCTATGTTTCAGCAGCAGATGGACTCGATGAAGTCCTTGCCGTTCGTGAGTCGGTTGGAGGAGGTCCGGCAGGAGTTCCTCACCCACTCGGGCGAGTGAGAAGTCGAGGGTGGGATCGCGGGCTCGGCTCGATCCCTCGGCCTTGGCGTCTGTAGATCCGTTGCCTCTGGCCGGATCGGGACGCCTTCGGCTGCTCGAGGAGAGGAGGTGCTCCCAGTCCCCTCTCGGGCTTCAGCGAGAGCCGTTGAGTATTCCTGGTATTCCGGTCCTTGCGCACACCGCCCCATGAGGCGGAGGCACCAGTTCTGCCTGGCCTGCCTCCAGCGTCACCGGGACGGGGTCCACGCGCGCCCGGCTGGCGCTGGCGTGGAGCAGTCTGTCTGTTCTTCCCTTCCTGTGGTTCCTAAGCGTTAGGCAGTCCACGGGTCGGGGTTAGGGTCCTCTTACGGAGGAGACCCAGCCTCTGACTTCGGGCACCGGACGCCGAGGCAATGGAGCTTAGGGAGTCGAGGAGCATGGCGGCGGCTTCCGTTTTGCCGACCTTGCGGGAGGTCCGGCAGAAATTGCCGAGGGCCTACCCAGGCAGCGGTGCCTGCTGGTAGCGTGGACTTCGACTGAGTTCGCTTGCCTGGCGGCGTTTGCCCTAGGCAACCCTCACAGGCGCAGCTCCGCATTCTGCCATCGTTGGTCACCGGGCGTGGTCGATCCCTCTTGTCTGGTGCCCGAGTAAGGTTTGACTTACCTGAACTTCGTCTTGGCGGCTACCAGCTTGGGGAGGATTCCCTGTTCGTTGTACCGATTGTTGGCGAATGTGTTTTCACTTCCGTCGCCCTGGGGAGGCTCGGCTTCCTCGGAGCAGCTCCGGCTGCTTTCGGCAAAGGCGCCTAACTCCACCTTTTGCCCTCGCGGCATCCCTGCGCGACGCAGCGTGCGGACCTACGAGGAGGTCTGCGGAGCGATGCAGCAGGTGCGGTGGTGGTCCATGAGGCCTACCTCACCTCGGTTCAGAATTCGGCCCTGGGCGGAGGGCATGCTGGCGGCGATAATGCGCGCATGTCGTGCTGCTCCGTCAGCTTCGGAAGTGCAGGCTCACCTGCGTAGCGACTCTTTGCGGTCTGCTGCGTCGGCGGTGATGATCGCGCAGTCATGGGGATCGCCCGGCTGTGGCTGTCGGCGTCTAGGTACTTTCGGCAGCAACACAGCGAACCTTGCTGGCCCTCCCTTTCCGTCTGGGGCGACCCTCTTTCCAGGGGCCCAGCAGGTCATCACGGGGAGGCTGCGCTGCAGCTACCTCCTTCAAGGACTCTAAGGCCTTGTTGGAGCACCAGCGGGTGTCTGCGCCCAGCTCCGTGCCACCTTCCTCCGCCCGGGGTGCAGCCTACACCGAGTCTGCCGGCTGGCCGGCGCTTGGTAGGGGTAGGCGGAGGAACAGGTCGCCAAGGGTAGGGGCAAGGAGCAGTCCTCGACTAGCTCCCAGCCTTTTCAGCGGTAGCGGGAGGTCTGCCCGACCTCCGTTAACCCAACAGGCTGCCGCTCAAGCCGTGTGTCACACCCAGTCAGCTCCGCTACTAGGGTCTACGCCGCGCTCCTACCCCATATCCCAGTGGGAGGCCGCCTCTCTCTATTCCTGCGGAATGGGAGAAGGCTACCAACAGCAGCTTGGGTGCTGGCCACGGTCAGCATAGGCCATCTCCCACTGTGGGCGGCGAGATCGCCCGACTTCACCGGCATCTGGCGCACTCGGTGCCGTCATGCCAGGCCAGAAGCGGACATATTTAGCGACGAAGTTCAGGCTCTGCTGGACAAGTCCGCAATCGGCGCATTCCACGGGGAGGAACAGGCGGGATTTTACTCCCGCGTACTTCCTCGTCGAAGAAAGGCGGCGGGTTCCGTCCGATTCTCAACCTCAAGGGGTTGAATCGCATGCTTTCGAAGTACCATCCTTCAAGATGGAGACACTGCGCTTCGGTGATCTCATCTGTTCAGCCCGGCGATTGGCTCCGTCAATCGACCTAAAGGATCGCGTATCTGCATGTACCCATACATCCCTCGTTCAAGCAGTACCTCCGGTTCTCTTCGGACGGGATGTATTACCAATTCAGGGTGCTCCCCGCCCGGCATATCGACTGCCCCAAGGGTGTTCACCAAGCTCATGTTAGTCCCAGCTACCCTAGCTTCGCTCGCAAGGAAGGCGTTGTTACCCTTACCTAGGCGACTGGTTGCTTTCGAACACTAACACAGCCAGCGAAGTCAAGATGCTACTCACACAGTGATAGACATTCTAACTTCGACTGGGGTGGATCATCAACCTCAAGAAATCCGACCTGGTACCCACCCAGGACTTGGTTTTCTTGGGTAGCGATTCAAGCGAACAAGGATCTCGTTTCCTTGTAAGCCCGACCGGGTCACCAGAGTTAGGAGATGGTATCTTCATTCCTCTCCCAGCCCCAGGCACCAGCGCGGACTTGGCTCCGTCTACTGGAGCCATATGGCGGCGGCGATCTCTGTAGTGTGGCGGCGCGGTTGAGGATCGTCCCATACAGCAAGCTTTGGCTCGGCTGTGGACTCACCGCGGAGGATCTGGGCGCAGTCTCACAGTCCCAGTGGTTGACACCTCACCTTCAGTGGTGGACAAATGTCGGGGAATCTCACCAGGGGTTCCCCTTGGAAATCGGCGCCAGCTCTCACAGTTCAGACAGATCGTCCCTCCGCGGGCTGGGGCGTTCTGGGCAGTCTGTCGGCTTCGGACTCTGGTCGAAGCGAAGCTCACCTTCACATCAGCGTGTTGGAGCTGAGAGCTGTGCGGTTGGTATTGGCTTCAGAGAGCATGTCCGTGGCCAGGTAGTCCGTCTTCAGTTAGACAACCAGGCGGCCATGTGGTACATCCTGAAGCAGGGAGGCCGCGGTGTCCCCAAGCTCCTCCGGGAGGCGTGGGACTTTCTCCTCTGGGCGACCAATGCGATTGTCAGGTACTCCCTGTTTATCTCCGGGGCTGGAGAGCGTCGCGAGCAGATCGCGGCTCTCGCGGATCCTGGCCCGCGACGCAGTGGATGCTTTCGACAGGCAGATATTCACAGTAATCTCCCAGTTATGCGGTGCGTTCGAGGTGGATCTGTTTGCGTCCGGCGGGGCGCATCAGATTTCCGATGTTCTGCTCGGATACGGACCAGAGGCGTTGGCTGCGGCGCCTTCCTGCTGGATTGGACGGGCAAAGTGCTCTGGGCGTTCCGCCGTTACCACTCATTCCCGTGTCCTTTCACAGCTGTCCACCCAGCCAGCTCGGCTACTTGTGCTACTGGCACGCTTTGGCCGTCACAGAGCTGGTTTCGGTAATTCTCAGGTTTCTGGCTCAGCCTCCTGTTCTATTACCTTTGCGACCCGGACATTCTCACTCAGAGCGGGCGCCCACCCAAATCCGCGGATTCAGTGGGTGGCTTGGCCTCTGTCAGGTCTAACCTCGAGCACGCAGCGGAATTCCTGCAGCAGTTGCAGACACAATTCTGGCCGGTGGGGATTAGACAAGCGTTCAGAATGCGAGGATAGGTGGTCCGCTATGCTTGGCGCTGGTGTTCAGATAAAGGGGATTGCAGATCCCTTTTCTGCGGATTTAGTCGAGTATTGGAGTTTTGCAAGCTCGTTTGGAAGAAGGCCTGGCGGCCGACCATTAGCGGCTACTCCACGCTATTTCCACTTTTCACACCCCTGTCGATGGTGCTCTTCTGGGGCAGCACCCTCTCGTACAAGCGCTTTTCGCTGGCGGAGCGGATTCGACCTGCTCTCAGGCGAACCAGTCCACCAGCAGGATTTGTCGATCGTGCTTTCGATTGGCTGTCGGTCCCACTTTCTCACACCTATCGGCTATTTCCATTCAGTTGTTGACCTGGAAAGCTGTTTTCTGGTGGCGGTAACATCTGGTGAAGAGTCGGCGATTTACATGCTATGTCGTCCGACCGAGCTGACTGTGTTTCACCGCGGATCGTGTCAGTATTAAGCCTCCCAGATACTTACCGACCGAAGGTCGATCAGCTTTCCATGTGACAGCTCCTATCGAACTTCCTACTCTTACCCAGCCTTCCACGCCGGGGACCACTCCCTCTGAGCACTCACCCGTTGGATGTCGTAAGGCAGCTCAAAGTCTATCTCAAGCGAGCGCGGGGATCCGTGCGGGTACCCAGCTGTTCTGTTATTACGGTGGCGGGAAGGCTGGTCTGCCAGCGAGCAAGCAGACTTTGTCTCGCTGGCTAGTATCGTGTATTTGTGCGGCTTATCAGGCTAAGGGCAAGCCTCCCCTGAGGGGTTGAAGGCTCACTTTCGGTCAGGGCAGTAGCGCATCAAAAGCTTTGCATCGGCACTCCCCATTGAAGAGATCTGCTCTGCGCTATTTGGAGCCGGCCAAGCGCGTTTATCGCCATTATCAGCTCGTCGCATTCCGTAATCGTGCAAACTTTGGCCGTACTGTTCTCTCCAGTGGACAGTGTCCTGCCACCCTGACCGAGTGAGTCTTGGTTTATTGGTTTGTTTTGGCTACTGTACAATAAGATTCCATTATTGACATGTCTGCTAATGTGAGCTCACTCAGAGAACCTGTACCCCCTTCGATTCTCTCACGGAGTTACTGTATCGTTAGTGAGTGGTATTTTTGTTTTCCCCTCACGGTGCTCTCATGACAGAAGCCACTTAGTGGGTCGGTTCGTTGATATTAGCACTCGTGCAATGTCTCATTATGCTAGAGGTCGTCTTTGAGCACAAATCCTCCCTGTCAGTTCCCCTCCCATAATGCCTCTGTGAGGCGAAACTGGGTCAGTGACAGGTGAGTGTTATGGCGTCTGTTCAATTTTTTCCATGATACGATCGCTATATTTTGAGTGTGCTTGGACAGAATTCCCTCCTCCCTGGCCTCCGGTCTTTGGGAGTCTGTGTTTATGCATAATATGTACCCCAAGGGCGATCTCTCTGAAAAGAATTAACCAAACCTGCAGAGGTTTTCAATTCTTTGAAGAGTTAGATCCTTGGGGTAGAACCCTCCACCTCCCGCAATTCTGTTCACTGATAAGAATTCAGCAGAAGGAATGATGATCACGGGTCTAGGAGCCTACCCAGTTGAATGCGCATCGCTAAGGGAGGTAACTCCGTGAGGTAGAGGTCATTATAATAAATAAAGAGTTTATTTATTGTACAATCTTTTATTCAAAAACATTGATACAACTGTCACAGGACATTTTCAGCGGAAAATGCATAATATGTACCCAAGGGCATGACTCTCTTCAAAGAATTGAAAACCTCATTCAGGCATTTCCTCTGGCAGATCAGCCACATCTTCTTCAGCCAAATTCTCGTCGTGAAGATTTATTTGGTATGGCAAGACCAACAATATTGCAGCCAAAACACTCAGTAGATGCCAGTGCTAGCTCCCCAAATACAACAAACAGATTTGAGAAGTTGCCAATCCACCTCTCTCTCTCTAGTCCCATGGATGACATATCAGCCAATACATGTTCAATTGCCACCCAGACTGCTCAGGTACCAGCCAGTGGCAGTGGTCAGACTGCTGAAACCCGGACCGACACACCAGCACAAGCACCATCAGATGCTCCTATCAGCACTGGGGTCATTGTACGACCTAACATTCCCAGCATACCTTCAACTTCCTCCACCCTAACCACGGAACTGCCACCAGTGTCATCGATGGACACTTCCTCCCCAGCTCCTCTTAGTCCCAGTATGAGCTTGATGAGGTCTGACCTGCAACAAGCCAGTGTGATTGTACATGCTGGATCCACGCAGGCGTTGCCAGTCCCCCCTCCATCAGGGTCCATGTCGGATGAACAGAGTCAGGAGATGATGCCTGTGCCCATGGATGTGGCCTCCAGTTCAACATCCGAACCCTCTACACTGCCTTCCTTCAGGTGAGTCAAGCTGTAGCTGGTCAAACTGTGCAGATTTGATGTTTTATGCTACATGTTTTACCCTTATCGTCCAAATCTTGGGTATGTCTTGACCCCTTTTAAAATACTGTGTAACGACTCATAACTAAAAAAGCTTGAGTCTGATTTCTTGTGTGTTATTTAGCTGGAATATTGATGAGGTCGACATTGCTTGATCCTTGTATGTGCATGTCTCATTTGTGCTGACAAATGTCTACCACACACATAAAGTGTTACCTGGTATAACTTGTGCAGCACTATTTCCATCCTTAGGCCAACAATGAGGTCTACGCCTCCGTGGTGTACATAAAGTGTTACCTGGTTAGTGCAGCACTATTTCCATCCTTAGGCCCACCAGTGAGTAGTGGAAGTCGTCCGAGAGCTGGAAGGTCGGGTTCGATCCCCGACCGCGTCATACCAAAAGACGTTAAAATATGGTACTTGTTGGTCCCTGCCTGGCGCTCGGCATTAATGGGTACAACAAGGAGTGGTCAGCTCGGAGTCAGTATAATGTGTCTGAGTGGGGTATTCATGCTTCACTGTGGCATGGTATCTCAGTGGGCTAGCACTATAAAACCGGCTTAAGTCTTGGCTAGTACAAGCAGCCGCACATACACACGCATACACACCGTCATATGAGCGAAATATTCTCAAGCATGACGTTAATCCCAATTTCACCTCACCTCACCTCAGGCCAACATACACACTGCGCATGATACTGATCATGGATTACTTAAAGAGTGCTCTTGGCTTCAAAACTTGCAGTTCCAATTTAGAGGTTAATGTCCTGGATTTTTTATGCCCCCGCCATATATGGCTGGGGGCATATAGGGTTACCCTCTGTGTCCGTCCGTACGAAACAGGGAATGTACTCTATCCACTTCTCCACAAAAAACGCTCTGTGGAATTCAATGAACTTATACATGGGCTTTCTTGGGACTCTAATGGTGTGCATCTCATATTTTGTTTTTGTATTTTATTGTTTTTTTATGTTTAGAGACATTTGAACTTAGGTACATTTTGCTGAATTTCTCTCTGATGATAGTGAAATAGGGGATGAAGTCTATCCACTTCTCCACAAAAACTGCTCAACAGAATTGATTAAGCTTATACATATCTTTCGTAGGGACTCGAAAGGTGTGCATCTCATAGTTGCATAGATGTTTATTGAACTTGTTCGTGAATTTTGTTCAATTATTGATCTTTATATGATAATTGGTTGTGTTGAACCTTCATGATATAGGTTTAATTGTACTGTGGTAAGTTCATTGTGACATACATTTACAAATAAGTATTTACCTTGGACACTTTGGATATATTTATGTTATAATCAACCATGATATTTATTTAGTAGAAATTAATCACCAGAGCAAACTCAGTGTAGGGAACTCTTCCTACAGCAGCGGGGGCATCCGTGTCCCTGGACACAAATTTTTCTTGTTTAATCCTTGTTTACTCTTCCTTTAATGGAATGATGACTGACTTGTTGATGTTCTGATGACTTTATGATGATAGTCTGATTAGATGATGTTTTTATGTATTGTTTGACTGCAATATTCATTATATTACCCAGTGCTGACCCAGCACCGCCTGTGGAGAGCCCGGTGGATCTAGTTGGAGCCAATGAGAATGTATCCAACACTGTGGACATTGAGACTTCGTCAACATCTGCATCCATGTCCCTCAGAGCCAGGTCAGTTTCTTACCAGACATAGTCCTCAAAACAGTCATGTAACTCTGTAGAATGTTACTGGAATTCATAACCGCTATATGTTATTCCCTGTTGCTTTTATTTCAGACAACAAAGTGTGATTGGACAGCAAGTGTCACACGACGTGTTGTTGGGGCGATGGCGACTGACTTTAGATCTGTTTGGTCGTGTGTTCTGTGAGGATGTTGGGGCTGAGGTTGGGTCTGTGATCAGTGAACTTGGTGGCTTCCCTGTCAAGGAGAGCCGCTTCCGTCGTGAGATGGAGAAACTGAGGAACTCTCAGCAAAGAGATCTTACTTTAGATGTAAGTATAGCTTCATATACCAGGGTTCTATTCCAAAACTTATCCCCTTTACTAGCCCAAATGTATACGAGTTTCTTGCCAAGAAGGATGCTACACAGTTTATGAGGCTAGCTGTGGTGGATATAGGCTCATTGCAGAGTGACACACAGATTATTTGTCAGTTTGTTTCTGTATCGTTGCTCTCAAAGGATGTGAAGTATTTGCAGGTGTATGAGAGGCTCCAACTTCTCTGCGAATCTAAGGGGCAATAGATATGACGGAGGCATCACAATTTGCTGCAGAGAGTTACATCCATTGCTCATGACAGGAACTCTTGAAATGTTTCTCAGTCTGTTAAATGTCTACGGCCTTCATCGCTTTGTGCTTACTCTCTACATGAAGCCATTATGCCAAGAGGTGTCAGATCTTCCACTCACTAACTTGATCCAAGATTCCAGACGTGTCCTTATTTCATTTGCCTAGGTTGAGCGAGACAGGAATTCCTTGCTACAGACCACTTTCAAACAGCTGAATACTCACTTCAACCGGCGAACCAGTACTACTGGCCCACCCTTGGCTGTGCACAGGGTGAAGGTCACATTCAAGGATGAGCCTGGCGAAGGTTCAGGGGTTGCCAGGAGCTTCTATACAGCAATAGCCCATGTAAGTAGTTATGTGATGATAAGATCACATGCAGCCATCTGTGTCTGTCTTCTCACTGTTTGAGAAGGGCAACAGATTATGACAAAGTGGAAATATGTAACTTAGAGTAGGATTCATCCTGAGGCAACAGATATTTAATTGTGACAAATTTACTCTTGATCGAATTCAAAAATTACCTCAGGACATGTCAAACGCCTTATATATAGAGAGAGAGTAAAGATTTCTCGGACGGAAGTACACCAGTGTAGATATACTTTAAAGATATTAATTGTCCTGCAATCAGGAGAAGTGTGTGACTTCATGATGTTGCATATTCCAGGCCGTGTTGTCCCAGGAGAAGCTGCCGTCCTTGGATGGGATCCTTGTTGGAGGAGGGAAGAGCTTCCAATACAGTGAGTAAAACTTCATTCTTCTTCATAGAGATCGTCCTTGGGGTACATATTATGCATTTTCCAAGCTGAAAATGTCCTGTGACAGTTGTATCAATGTTTTTTTGAATAAAAAGATTGTACAATAAATAAACTCTTTTATTTACTATACGGCCCCTACCTCACGGAGTTACCTCCCGTTGTGCATGCGCACCAACTGGGTAAGCTCCTAGACCCGTATCATCATTCCTTCTGCTGTCACTGCCGTGAACAGACGTCCATGAGCCGTACAGCGCTGAACTTTCTGAATAAGAAAACTATGTCTGATACTACCCCACCTGTATGTATGGTCTTTATTTGCCTAAAAAGGAACAGTAAAGCTTTACAGTTGGTTGTTTCATAATTGTGACTTTGTATTAATTCCTAATATCGCTCACTTTCCGTGGTTTACGCCGCGTGTTGCTCTGCCATGGCGGGGAAGTTTAGCGTGCCATGTGGTCGTAATATTGGCGTATTGAACCAACTCTTACTTCCCGTGGTAGCCTTCACATATTTTCAATGTTTTCTACGTGTATATATATGCTTGCTGGTCGCCCGTTAGCTACATGCTTGCGTGTTTGCTTTCAGGCCTTTTCGTCCTGTTCGGTCTGTGGACAGAGCATTCCACGGGCCGACAGGCATGACCAATGTGTAGCCTGTCTGGAAAAGACCGGCCATGACGCCGAAGTGTGTCCAATATGTCTTGGGTTTTCCCCCCGGGCCCAAAAGAGGAGGGCGGCTTTTCTAAAGAGATGCGAGAGGCGGGTGGGGAACTGACCCTGGTCCCCCCGTCTAAGGCCCAAAAGCGGTCGCGTAAGGGAAAAAAATCCCACAGCCAAGCCCCGTCTCCTGCTTCTACTGGTGGGTTTGACATGTCTTTAATGGATAAATTGTTTCAGCAACATATGGACTCTGTGAGTCTGTTGGAGGGCTCCGGCAGGAGTTCCTCGCTCACTCCGGACGAGGGGCGGAGAGTCAGGGGGTGGGATCGCCGGGCTCGGCTCGATCCCTCAGCCTTGAGGCGTCTGTAGACCCGTTGCCTCTGGCTTCGGGTCCGGACGCCTCGGCTGCCCCGGAGGGGGAGGTGCTCCCAGTCCCCCTCTCGGAGTTGGCGCAGGGACCGTTGAGTATTCCTGGGATTCCGATCCCTGCGCCCTCCCGCCCCATGAGGCGGAGGCACCAGTTCTGCCTGGTCTGCCTCCAGCGTCTCGGGACCGGGTCCGTTACGCATGCTGGCCGAAGCTGGCGTGGGGGCACTCTGTCTGCTCTTCCCCTCTCTGTGGTTCCTAGTGCTAGGCAGCCACCGGGTTGGGGTTAGGGTCCTCTTTCAGAGGAGACCCAGCCTCAGACTCGGGCTCGGCGCCGAGTCGATGAAGCTTGGGGAGGTAGAGGAGCATGACGGTGCTTTCCGTTTTGCTTCGGCTCTGCGGGAGGTCCGGCAAAGGATTGCCGAGGGCCTACCCCAGGCCGCGGTGCCTGTTGGCAGCTTGGACTCGGCTGAGTTCCGCTTGCCAGGCGAGGCGTTTTGCCCCTAGGCAGCCTACACAGACGCAGCTCCGCATTCTGCCTTCGTTGGTACAGGACGTGGTTGATCCCCTCTTGTCTGGTTCCCGTGTCCGGTTCGACTTGCCGGAGCTTGTGCGGAGATACCAGCTTGGGGAGGAATCCCTGTTCGTGGTACCCATCGTGGACGAGTGTGTTTTCACTTCCGTCGCCCTGGGGCTCTGGCTGCTTGGCAAGGCTCCGGCTTACGGCCCACCGTTTGCCACTTTTGCTCAAGCATCCCCCTGCGGCATCGTGCGGACCTACGAGGAGGTCACCGAACGCAATGCAGCAGGTCAGGGTGGTGGTCCATGAGGCCTACCTCTCCCCTCGATACAGAGGTGCGGCCCTGGAGGCGGAGGGGCATGCTGGTGACGTTTCGCCGCATGTCGTGCTGCTCCGTCAGCTATCGGAAGTACAGGCCCACCTCGCGCGCGACTCTTTGCGGTCTGCTGCGTCGACGGTGATGTGCGCAGTCATGGGGATGCGCAAGCTGTGGCTGTCGACGTCTCGGTACTCGGCAGCGACACAGCAGACCTTGCTGGCCCTCCCATTCCGTCTGGGAGCGACCCTCTTTCCAGGGGCACAGCAGGTCATTCGGGAGGCTGCCGCTGCAGCTACCTCCTTCAAGGACTCTAAGGCCTTGTTGGAGCACCCTCGGGTGTCTCGCCCCGCTCGCCCTCCACCTTCCTCCGCCCGGGGTGCAGCCTACACCCGAGTCTGCCCGGCTGGCCGCCGCTTGGTAGGGGTAGGCGGAGGAACAGGTCCGCCAAGGGTAGGGCCTTGACAGTCCCCTCCCCAGCTCCCAGCCTTTTCAGGCGGAGGTCTGCCCGGCCAAGCCATGTGTCAAGCCCCAGTCAGCTCCGCTGCTCGGGACAACGCACGCGCTCCTACCCCATATCCCAGTGGGAGGCCGCCTCTCTCTATTCCTGCCGGAATGGGAGAAGGCTACCAACAATGCTTGGGTGCTGTCCACTGTCAGCATCGGCCATTTACCACTGTGGAAGCGAGGTCCGCCCGACTTCACGGCATCACGCCGCCTCGGTGCCGTCATGTCAGGGCAGGCGGACATATTGCGCTTGACGAAGTTCAGGCTCTGCTGGACAAGTCCATAATCGGCGCATTCCACCCGGGAGAGGAACAGGCGGGATTTTACTCCACGTACTTCCTCGTCCCGAAGAAAGACGGCGGGTTCCGTCCCATTCTCAACCTCAAGGGGTTGAACCGCATGCTAGAAGTACCATCCTTCAAGATGGAGACACTGCATTTCGGTGATCTCATCTGTTCAGCCCGGCGATTGGCTCCGTCAATCGACCTAAAGGATCGCGATATCTGCATGTGCCCATACATCCATCGTTCAAGCAGTACCGCCCGGTTCTCTTACGGCGGGATGTGTTACCAATTCAGGGTGCTCCCCTTCGGCATATCGACTGCCCCAAGGGTGTTCACCAAGCTCATGTTAGTCCAGCTACCCTCGCTGGCTCGCCAAAGGAAGGCGTTGTTACCCTTACCTCGGCGACTGGTTGCTCGGAGCACTAACACAGCCAGCGAGTCTAGATGCTACTCACACAGTGATAGACATTCTAATTCGACTGGGGTGGATCATCAACCTCAAGAAATCCGACCTGGTACCCACCCAGGACTTGGTTTTTTCTTGGGTAGCGATTCAAACAAACAAGGATCTCGTTTCCTTGTCGCCCCCGGATCACCAGAGTTGGAGATGGTATCTTCGTTCCTCTCCCAGCCCCAGGCACCAGCGCGGACTTGGCTCCGTCTACTGGGCCATATGGCGTGACGATCTCTGTAGTGTGGCGGTAGCGGTTGAGGATCGCCCTATACAGCAAGCTTTGGCTCGGCTGTGGGCTCACCACGGAGGATCTGGGCGCAGTCTCACAGTCCCAGTGGTTGACACCTCACCTTCAGTGGTGGACAAATGTCGGGGAATCTCACCAGGGGATCCCTTGGAAATCCGGCGCCAGCTCTCACAGTTCAGACCGATCGTCCCTCACGGGCTGGGGGTGTGTTCTGGGCAGTCTGTCGGCGTCGGACTCTGGTCGAAGCGAAGCCCACCTTCACATCAGCGTGTTGGAACTGAGAGCTGTCGCGGTTGGTTTTGGCTTCAGAGAGCATGTCGTGGCCAGGTAGTCCGTCTTCAGTTGGACAACCAGGCGGCCATGTCGTACATCCTGAAGCAGGGGCGGCACGGTGTCCCCAGCTCCTCCGGGAGGCGTGGGACTTTCTCCTCTGGTGCGACCAGTGCGACTGTCAGGTACTCCTGTTTATCTCCGGGGCTGGAAGCGTGCGAGCAGATGCGCTCTCTCGCCGGATCCTGGCCCCTTGCAGTGGATGCTTTCGACAGGCAGATTTTCAGAGTAATCTCCCAGTTATGCAGGGTCGTTCCAGGTGGATCTGTTTGCGTCGGCGGGGCGCATCAGACACCCGTGTTCTGCTCTCGAATACCGGACCCAGGGGCGTTGGCTGCCCGGCGCCTTCCTGCTGGATTGGACGGGCAAAGTGCTCTGGGCGTTCCGCCCGTTACCACTCATTCCCGTGTCCTTTCACAGCTGTCCACCCAGCCAGCTCGGCTGCTTGTGCTACTGGCACCGCTTTGGCCGTCACAGAGCTGGTTTCGGTAATTCTCAGGTTTCTGGCTCAGCCTCCTGTTCTATTACCTTCTGACCGGACATTCTCACTCAGAGCGGGCGCCCACCCAAATCCACGGATTCAGTGGGTGGCTTGGCCTCTGTCGGAGTCTAGCCTCGAGGACGCGCGAATTCCTGCAGCAGTTGCAGACACAATTCTGGCTTCGGGGGATTAGACAAGCGTTCAGTATGAGGATAGGTGGTCCCGCTATGCGCGCTGGTGTTCAGATAGGGGGATTGCAGATCCCTTTTTCTGCGGATTTAGTCCAGTATTGGAGTTTTGCAAGCTCGTTTGGAAGAAGGCCTGGCGGCTTCGACCATTAAGTGGCTACTCCACGCTATTTCCACTTTTCACACCCTGTCGATGGTGCTCTTCTGGGGCAGCACCCTCTCGTGCAAGCGGCTTTCTTGCTGGCTGGCGGGCGGATTCGACCTGCTCTCAGGCGAACCAGTCCACCTTGGGATTTGTCAATCGTGCTCGATTGGCTGTCGGTCCAACTTTCTCACACCTATCGGCTATTTCCATTCAGTTGTTAACTTGGAAGGCTGTTTTCTGGTGGCGGTAACATCTGGATGTAGGGTCGGCGATTTACATGCTATGTCGTCCGACCCGGCGCTGACTGTGTTTCACACTGATCGTGTCAGCATTCGCCTCCCAGATACTTACCGCCCGAAGGTCGATCACGCTTTCCATGTGACAGCTCCTATCGAACTTCCCACTCTTACCCAGCCTTCCACATCGGGGACCACTCCTCGAGCACTCACCCGTTGGATGTCCGTAAGGCGCTCAAAGTCTATATCAAAGCGAGCGCGGGGAATCCGTGCGGGTACCCAGCTGTTCTGTTGTTACGGTGGCGGGAAGGCTGGTCTGCCAGCGAGCAAGCAGACTTTGTCTCGCTGGCTAGTTTCGTGTATTTGTGCCGCTTATCAGGCTAAGGGCAAGCCTCCCCCTGAGGGGTTGAAGGCTCTTTCGGTCAGGGCAGTAGCAGCATCAAAGCTTTGCATCGGCACTCCCCATTGAAGAGATCTGCTCTGCCGCTATTTGGAGCCGGTAAGCACGTTTATACGGCACTACCAGCTCGATACACATTCCCGTAGTCGTGCGAGCTTTGGCCGTTCTGTTCTCTCCAGTGGACAGTGTCCTGCCACCCTGACCGAGTGAGTCTTGGTTTATTGGTTTGTTTTTTTACGCTGCTGTACAATAATCGTGTATTATTGACATGTCTGCTACTGTGAGTTAAACTACCCCCTTTCGATTCTCTCAGGAGTAATTAGTCGATTGTGAGCGGTATTGACATTCCCCCCTACGGTGCTCACTAATCGACACTAGGTGGGTGGGGTTTTGTTGACATTCGTACATGTGCGATTGCCTATGCTAAACGTATGGAGGTCGTCTTTGAGCACAAATCCTCCCTGTCAGTTCCCCTCCCATAATGCCTCTCGCGGAAGCGCAACTGGGTCAAGTGACAGGTGAGTGTTATGGCGTCTGTTCAATTTTTTTCCATGATACGATCGCTATATTTTGTGTGTGCTTGGACAGAATTCCCTCCTCCCCTGGCCTCCGGTCTTTGGGAGTCTGTGTTTATGCATAATATGTACCCCAAGGACGATCTCTATGAAGAAGAATTAACCAAACCTGAAGAGGTTTTCAATTCTTCGAAGAGAGTAGATCCTTTGGGGTAGAAACCTCCCGCCTCCCGCAATTCTGTTCACTGATATATTCAGCAGAAGGAATGATGACGGGTCACGGGTCTAGGAGGCTTACCCAGTTGAGTCCATTATAGTAAATAAAAGAGTTTATTTATTGTACAATCTTTTTAGGTAACTCCATTGAGGTACAGGGGCATTATAATAAATAAAAGAGTTTATTTATTGAAAACAATCAGGTTTTTATTCATGGAAAAACATTGATACAACTGTCACAGGACATTTTCAGCTTGGAAAATGCATAATATCCAGATCTACCCCAAGGGCGACTCTCTTGAAGAATTGAAAACCTCTTCAGGTTTGGTTAAATGCCCCAAAGTCAGGTTGCTGCAGCCGGTAAGTAGAAGGCTCTTGCTGACAAAGAGCACTATTTGTACTAACTCTGTATGTGTGTCATCTATGGAATTAGTAAGTGTGGAGATTTATGTCTCTTAGGAAGTTCAGAATGATGTCCTATGATCATGGGTTTCAGAGACTTGCTGAGACTGTGATTTTGTAATTTTCACCACCATATTCATGCTGGTTGGGTTCTTCAGCAGCAGCAGCACTTTGGGCTTCTCACGCATGAAGCTGACATGCCTTGATAGAACAACAATCCTACTATTAAAAGCTGCATAAAGCCCAACGCACACCAGAAAATTACTTCTACTTTGAAAGGTTGTCAAAGTATTGTTCCACTAAGTTAATATTAGGACTACAATTGTCAGAAACCCTGTTCTTTAGTCAAAATATAAACTTTTGCCAGTATGGATTCTGGGCTTGAGTATGTGCCCTGTACAGCCAAAAGTGAGATGGATTGCCAGATTCTTGTCGAAGAAGAATATCGACTATATTGTAGAGATGTCCATCTTAATCTATGTGACTATAGCCTAAATATAATGTTGATATTCTTCCCTGCAGTCACTGGCTGCCAAGATCACTGGCATGTTGCTGGAGCTGTCCCCAGCACAGTTGTTGCTGCTGTTGGCGTCGGAGGAGTCCCTGCGGCAGCGTGTTGATGAAGCTGTGGACATCATCATGTCACATGGCAGGTTCGTAACTTCCCTTTGATTGATTGAATTGTCTGTGACTTAGACACTGGTCTGAAGCCCACATCAGGATTTGGTCTAGTGAGCTCTTCAGTCAAGTTTTAATTTGATAACACTAAACTCTGCTGAAACTAATGCTGAGAGCCATTTTGGGTTTGTAGATGCAGAAATGTCTGGAACAGATTGTGAATTATGAAACAATTATTGGTAATTTGGAAAACAGTTATGGTAACACAAAGCACTGCTACTTGACTGATTAAGGACCTCACCACAAACTCCAGTCAAGATCTAGGTGTTGTACTGAAATTGAGTGATTAATTAGATTTTGCATCAGTGCAGTTGGGGTAATGTGGAACATACCAAAGTGTTCTATGGTAATCATGCTATTGTCCAGTGATGTTAGTATGAGTTTGTGGTGTACAGGGAGATGAGTGCTGAGACACTGCTGGACCTGGACATCTTCAACCTGTCCTCCGACAAAGCCAAGAAAGGAGGAAGTGGATCAGATCGCCGTAGTGATGGAGAGGAAGAGGAAGACCTGGAGGATAATGCACCATTGCTATGGCAACCTGGAAAGCATGGCTATTATTCACCACGGCCTGGAAAGAACACTCCTGAGAGGCTTAATGCATTTAGGAATATTGGCAGGCAGGTGTACTTCCATTACTTCACACGTTGTTCTGGTGTGGTAATCTGGTCAAAATGTTGACAGCATCAATGTTTGGAATTCTGTTGATAATTCTCAGTTATAATGTCAACATACAAGCATGTGGATTTGCTTGAAAAAGGGCAGTATATAAGAAAGTAAATGCTAAATCATCCGCAGAAACTATTCTAAGTATATTGAATGTTTTCAATATGGTCACTTTCTGTATGGGCCCGTGCCTACTACAGAATGAGATCATCAATGTTTGGAATTCTATTGATAATTCTAAGTCATAATCTCAACAAACAAACATGCGAGTTACTTGAGAAAGGGCAGTGTATAAGAAAGCAAATAATAAATAGTCCCTAGAAATTATTCTAAGTATATTGAATGTTTTCAATTTTGTCCTGTAACAGAGTCATCGGCCTGTGCCTGCTACAGAATGAGATCTGCCCCATATTCTTCAATCGCCATGTCCTCAAGTATGTCCTGGGCCGGAAGATAGGCTGGCATGACCTGGCCTTCTTTGACCCTGAGATCTACGAGAGCCTGCGTACACTGCTGGAAGATTCAGAAACCAAAGACGCTTCACTGATGTTCACAACTCTTGACCTGAACTTCTGTGTGGAGCTCTGTGCTGAAGAGGTCAGAGTTATTTGTATCTCACATTTTAGGAAGTTAACGGGATGTAGGGGTACTTGGAGTAATACTTCTTGTAGCTGTGTTCCTGGAGGTGTTGCCAATCCCCTCTCTGTTCAACATCTTAAATGTTCACCATGTAACTTCCTTTTTAATGGACTACATGGAATGGTTGAAATATTGAAGGAAGAGACATAATGCACTACTTAGCTGACTCCTGACAAGCGATAATAGATGAATTAGTAAAAAAACATGTGAATCAGGAGGCATTTTATGTTTCATGTTTTCTTTCTTTTAAAGAAACTGTTAACAGCTTCTGTTATATATTCTGAATAAATGTTTGTGGTGTATTCCTTTCAGTAGAATTATGTGTGATGATTTTCTAATGTGTTGGTACTTAGAGACAATAAGTCGATGTCAGACTCGTGGGAAGGTAAATCTTATAATGAATGTATAGTGTACTTAATATAACATTGCTAAATTACATTGTCAGGCATGCCACTTTAGTTAGTGTTATAATATGTCACATTTTCCATCATTTGGCTATCAGAAGCATTGGGCTTAAAGGTTATCAAGTTACAACTGTAGGTACATGTGACCATTCAGTCCCAGCTGAGGGGGATATTAAAATGGACTCCGTGCGTCTGTCCGTCTGCCCGTCCGTCCGTGCACATTTGTCTTTTCCGGAGCAGAACTCTAAAACCATTCAATATTTCTTCACCAAACTTGGCACATAGATAGATCTGGTGGTGTACTGGTGCCTTTTGGTAGTTTTGGAATTCTGAATAAAATATTTTTGGCTTTTCCGTGGCAACAAGTTTGACTTAGCCTGAAATTGGTGGTAGTGCTCTTTTCCGGAGCTGAACTCTAAAACCGTTCAATGTTTCTTCACCAAACTTGGCACATACATAGATCTGGTGGTGTACTGGTGCCTTTTGGTAGTTTTGGATTTCTGAATAAAATATTTTTGGCATTTCCATGGCAACAAGTTTGACATAGACTGAAATTGGTGATAATGCTCCTTTCTGGAGCAGAATTTTAAAAACCTTTCAATACTCTCCTTCCACTTTTCTATATACACACCTAAATATTTGACATAATCATAACTCGTAGACATAATCATGAAGAGTATTTTGCCATTGCGGGGGATATTGATGACTTTGTCTTCTTGTAGAATCTATAATATGAACAAATTATTCTGCCCATGTTGTAAGATGGTACAAGAGTAAACACTAACATGATTCTGTTTTTACCAGGGTGGAGAACAGCTGGAGTTGATATCAGGAGGTGCTGATATTGAAGTGAATGCCCAGAATGTCCATGACTATGTTCGCAAATATGCTGAGTACAGAATGGTCAAAGTTGCTGAAAAAAAGTCTGCGGGTTAGTAGATCAGAATGAGAGTACACAATAAACAAGCATACAGAATGAGAGTAGATACTGTTATCCTGTTTTTAAGAGTACTAGTGTATGCAGATTTCATGTACAGTTCTTTGAAATGTTCAACTTAGATTTAATTCACATTGGTGAATTTTGCTGACTTTGAGTCTAAGAAAATAATTTTGTTGAGTCCGCAAAAGAACCCTGCATGACAGCAGCTCATTTCCTGTCTTCTTTCTGGAAAACATATTGCAAGTTACACACCCAGTAAGCAAGAACTGATTCCTCTGATTTTAAGCTTTAGGCATGTAAGATCATAATAGAAATTTCCCAATCAGATGGTTATTAACTTTGCAGTATTTGCACTTCACTGAGTGTCTTAACTATGTATTGTATGTTTTCTAGCACATCAAGGCAGGTGTCTTTGATGTGATACCACAGAACTCACTGGAGGGGCTAACCTCGGAGGATCTGCGGCTGCTTCTCAATGGTGTTGGTGATATCGATGTACAAACTCTCATAGGGTACACCAGCTTCAACGATGAGAGTGGTGAGTCACTTCACTTCAAGGAATATGTTACAGAGAAATAATGACATTTACTATTAACTTGACATTTAAATATCAGTACTTGGGAACTGTGTTCTGAGGTGTAGCTCAGTTGCATTCCAACATTAGCTGTTGTATGTAACATGGAACATTAAGATAAATGTGGGATGAATACAAACTAACAGTATTTCTTCTTTGGTGTATAGGTGAGAGTGCTGAACGAGTCCAGCGCGCTTCAAGAGATGGCTGTGGTCAGTGGTGGAGAAGATGACCAACCAAGAGCGACAGGACCTGGTCTACTTCTGGACATCCAGCCCTGCCCTGCCGGCTAGTGAGGAAGGCTTCCAGCCCATGCCCAGCATCACCATCCGCCCTGCAGATGATGACCATCTCCCCACGGCCAACACCTGCATCTCACGGCTGTATATCCCTCTCTACTCAACCAAAGTCATTCTTAGAGCCAAGCTCCTAATGGCAATCAAGACCAAAGCATTTGGATTTGTCTGATCATCTAATCCAAGTGTATTAGCATCACGATTGTGCTAGTGGCTTTAAACAAATATATTGAAAAGGCTGGAAATACACACCAACTTGACATATATATATCACATGCTGTCATGGAATTTGGATGGCGTTGGACAGAGGATGTAAAGGGAGGTTACCTTGTGTAACAGACATGGATGCTTCTGTGACATGGGTCAAGGTCATGGCAAGGTGAACCTCTGAAATTGTGCCAATATTAATTTTCTTGACAGACTGAACTGGTGTGCCATGTTTGAAGTCATGGATAGTCATGGAACAAACACTTGATCAATCTGGTGAGACCAAACTTTATCCTATTTATGATGTCTATGTCTAACAAGGGCAATACAATAACTGGGAAGTGCCTGGAGGAAGTTCCCTGCGTGAATGACTGAGAGGCTGGAGGGAGCAGCTGCTTCTTTTTCCACCGTTTTGATATGTCTGAATATCAAGAACGTACACCAAAGCCCTACAACTACCATCTTCAACAAATAAGAAAACAGAAGTGCAGCTGATCAAGCTCAAGGACTGTTTAATGTTCGCTTTATACCTTTTTTTGTACTAAGTGCAAGGAAGCATAGGATTATCAGTGTTGTGTCACAGTGTCTTATATGTATATTGTTCAGTCTCTTTTTCCAGATTGCTAATTCACATGGATTTGAAAAGCCATTTGTGTTGGTGTTTGAGGGTTTGCAAAGATACCTATATGCACAATGTGTTTCAGTTGTTGTGCAGTCCAGATGATTAGAGACCCTTGTCAACAACACTGAGCCAGGGTTATAGCAGGGTGTTAAGCATCAAGCAATACTGTCACTGTGAACAGGGAAGACGATAATCAGTACCATAATTTGCATTTAATGATGTTTTCAGTGTTCTGATTGTATACAGTTTTATAACAGAAATCAGAGGATTTGTGAGTGTATTTGTGTGATGTGTGTATGCTAGAATGAGGACATGATGCAAGTGAATGGGTTACTAATTCAGGTGTATGTTTACACTAAGAATATTGTCTTTCAGAATCAAATTTTCTTTTTGTTGTAAAATATCATTCCCATGTGATGTGAGAGCATTTCGGTCAATATTTCGGAGGTTTTTATGGAGATCATACAAAATGACCAGTTATTGTTATGAACAACACACTCTTGCAACCACAGACAGTATTTGCAGATGAAACACGTAGGACTGATGTTTTCAAGCATCAGTACCATTCTGATGTGCTCTCACTGGAACATGGCCAACAGATCGTGTAGTTGTACCTTAGAGATGTATAAAGAGAGACTACCACATATATCTGTGAAAGCTAGCGTTGTGAGTGTTGTGACTTATTGACGGTGCTACAGCTTGCTATATGATCTCTTTATATGACTAGCTAGGACATGCATGGGACTGACCTACAGTGGTAAGGGAAGAACCCTGCAGTACTGGCACTGGTGCTTGTTCTGGTATTTGGAGTACTTCATGCACACACCCTGGGATGACTCTCTCAATGCCAGTATTCAGAGCTGAGACTAATCACTCCGTAGTCTGTGTGGCAAGAATTGGGTGGCTAGAGTATATAGTACAGGGATGCCCATAGGGTGAAACACTTCAGAAGCAGAGTGTTTGGTGTGTCACTGAACTGATGTGGTTGATGCCCAAACTCACCCTGCAGGCCACAGAGATAAAGCTATTGCAAAGAAATCATTTGTTTACACACTGATAACATTTTTGCCAATACAAATTATGTATCATAAGAATACTCTAGAAGAATTACTTGAAAGAATGATTGGGTGCCACCAGCAGATATCGTAACTGTCTAGTTTACTTACGCTTAAGACTCATAATTAGTAAGTACAGAAAAGCATTGAAAAGATTTGCCAGGTAAATGGTAAAAAAATAAGGACTTCAGCATCAGACTGGTTTGAAGTTTCTCTTCTTCGATATAATTCCCTAAACTGTGTGTATGTGGAGGAATGTCTGTCTGTGGAAGTGTTCTGATGGTTGATACTGTTGTGCGATGGTAGACAGTTGTGTCCAACCAGCCTATTGTTGTGCCTGTATGGGGGGAAAAGAGGGAACAAACGCAGTGTTGTAAATTGTCATGGTTGGAATTTGTATGTATGTTTATTTTCAAAGATGTCTGGCAGAAGAGATGTTTCAGACAAGTGACAAGTTTCATGACAAAACCAATGCATTTACTGTTAGACTTGCATTACCAAACAATAATTTGTATGATAAATAAATGTATGAAACAATGAACGTTTTATTTTATGACAAAAACCAATGCATTATATATATATATATTACTGTGAAGAAGCTATTTGGCATGCAGTTATTCTCTTTACCCCTCAATATTACATGAATTAATATTGTCATGTCAATATCAGGGATAACACATGTATCACTGATTGCTCATGTCCAATATCAATGACGGTATCACTGATTGTTCATGTCCAATATCATGAATAACACATTTTATTGTTGATATAGGAAACACATCATGATACAATTGCTCATGTCCAATATCATGAAAAGCACAACCGTATCACAATTGCTCATGTCAATATCATGAATAATATATCCATCATATATATATGTCCAATAATGTGATCATGAATAAAGCACATCCGATATCACTGATTGCATCATGTCCATGTCCAATATCATGAATCATCATCTGATATCACTGATTGCTCATGTCAATATCATGTCCAATATCATGAATAATATCACATGATGTATCATTGATCACTGATTGCTCATCAATATCGAATATACATCACACTGATTGCTCATGTCCAATATCATGAATAATCATGAATAACACACATCCGGTATCACTGCTCATTCCAATATCATGTAACACACCAATATCATGAATAATGCACCAATATCATGAATAACGCACATCCGGTATCACTGATTGCTCATCCGATATCACTGTCCAATATCATGAATAACTGATTGCTCATGTCCAATATCATCGATATCACGCTCATGTCAATATCATATCACTGATTGCTCATGTCCAATATCATGAATAACACACATCCGATATCACTGATTCCTCATGTCCAATATCATGACACATCCGGTATCACTGATTGCTCATGTCAATATCATGTCCGGTATCATGATTGCTCATGTCCAATATCATGAATAACGCACATCCGGTATTACTGATTGCTCATGTCCAATATCATGAATAACACACATCCGATATCACTGATTGCTCATGTCCAATATCATGAATAACGCACATCCGGTGTCACAAATAGCCCATGTTCAATGTCATGGATACCATATTCCATATCACTGGTTGCTCATGTCCGATATCATAGTTAACACACATCCGGATGTTGACTGTTTCCCCTCCATTCCGTTCCCCACCCCATCCCCCATCACGTTTACTGGTTCAGATCTCCCCCTTCCCCATCTCCTCATTCAGCTTCCTGTTCTTCCATCTCTCCAAACATTCCTGAGCTGTCGGTGGCTTCGACGATGCTGCCATCTGACTGGCCGATTCTACTTCCCGCCTCATCTGAACTTTGTCTGCAACCACATCAACTTCCTCAATAGCCCCAATGAGAGTTACCTTCTCATATTCTAGAGGTGGTCTGACGGTTCGTCTTCCTTTGGCAGCCTTTGGACGCACCCTTCTGTCGGGATTGCTTGGGTCAGGAGAGTAGCTCCTGGTTTCCATGGTGTTCTCATGCTGCACCAGCCACTGAGCGACCGTCGACACTGGAAGGTCATAGGGAGCTATCGGACTTGAACATTCATCGACGTCATCGCATTGTTCAGAGCTGTGGATGCTGTGGATAGATCCTATCTCACCTGTAAATGTAGTAAATATATTAGCTTGATGGTCAGGTTTAGCTTTCAGAACATGAAGTAAAGTATGTTTTTCATTAGGTATAAAATTCCATGTATAATTCGGCTGTCTCAAACCGTTGCCACCAATTGTTAATTATTTGGATGCTATATTATAGCAAAAATGCGATACAGCAAAATTGCTTATATATATATTGAAGAGAAATTATACTCTTCAGACTGGAGCCATTTAGCGTTCTATTGTCTAAACGTTGCGGCTGCCTCCGTGGTCAAGTGGATAGAGTCTCTGTCCACAGAACGAAAGGTGTGAGGTTCGATTCCCGGCCGCTTCATACCAAAATACATTTAAAGATGGTCTGTCCATCCGGCTCATGCTGTTGATCACTGGATTGTCTGGTCCAGACTCGATTATTTACAGACCGCTGCCATATAGCTGGAATATTGCTGAGTGCGGCGTAAAACTGAACTCACTCACTCACTCACTGTCCATCCGGCGCTTGACGATACGGATGAAACGAGGACTGGGCGGTCCAGGGTCAGTCACTTGATCTGAGTGTGGTATCCATGGTAATCTACGGTTTGTCAGCTGTCACAGATTGCCATATTCGCCGTGTGAGCTGATAGACAATCACATTGAGTTTCACCAACTATGATTCGGCAACCATTTGGTTAGAGTATGGTACCTCTTTAAATCTGAAGAGATTTCAGGCAAAGGATCTATGCAATTCATAGGCGTTTCATCTTGCAGTGGGTGAATATGGTTTGTTTTAAGCCACATTCTGCAATATTAAAGCAATACTACAAGCAATATTCCTTACACGAAAATAGCGTTTCCGTTACAGCAGATGCCTAGTGGGATAGCATATTGCCGATGATAAACCACCCCCTGTGTCCACACAACAAAACATCCCATGCTACGTATATAAGCCTTGGATAGCATAGAACAATTTGAACAGAAGTGCACAGGATGCAGTTTAGTTCATCAGTTGAATAAACTATCGCATTTTCGCACTTTGCGAGAATACACTAAATCTTTTACCTCATAATAGGTCATACTGTGGACATATGCTACTCTCGAAGCTGCAATGTATAGGAATCAACCCGGTGCCTGCAGTCTGACGATGGACGCTTTAACCCCCTGGGTGCCACAGGGACATATATCCCACGCACACAAATACAATTCACAGTTTCGAATTCAGCGGGAAATTTCCTGTTTCGTGATATCATCCACTATTATTTTAGACAAAGCTCAAGTGCTGAAAATGACCTTTCAAAATAGGCTTCATCGAAAATGTCGCCATTTTTGACACAGCACGAAATCGCGATTCACAGCGTTATTTGCAGTATGTTTTGAAATGTGAAAGTCAGATAATTACTGGGAGTATTGAATTTCAAAAATAACATATTCATGATCACTGATATCAGTTTTACATGAAATCGCTAATGATAACTCTGAAACGTTGCCGATGAATCTAGAATCGGTTGGGATGTTTTCGAAAATACACTTACACGAACGCCGAATTTACTGGTTTTTAACGCATAATAAAAATGTGGACATATTTCTCAAACCGCTGAGCTAGTGGCACTTATATTTATACTAACTGATAGGAAATTTAATATTCTACATTTCTGTGTAATTTTATAGCCGTACGTAGATCCAGGACAACGCGAGCGCAATTCTCGCACAACGTTCACGTTTCAAACCGTATGAAAATGTGCTCCTGAAAAAAACTCGGCATCCAGGGGGTTAAGCGCTGAGCTAGCCCATCACCCTAATCTGTAGGAGATACCGCGGCCATGATACGATACATAAAAGGTATTGATTGAATCAAACTGTAAAATACAACCCAGCAAATAGGAATGTTGATGTAATCTGCCGGACAAAAAACATACACCTATGTTTGATGATGGATTGGACCTTGAGTACGTAACTTGTTTCGACAACTGAATTGTGGCTAGTAACATTTAGATACCGGTTTTTCTTTGGCTAACTCCCTGTTTTTAACTGCATTTGTTCTTTTACCAAGCAGTTTCTAATCAAGTTCACGTGAAACCACGTATTACCTATCATTCTGCAATTTGAATACATTACAGCAAAATAATTATTGCACACTACCTGTAACTGACTTTGGGGTAGGTGAGGGTGGTTTGATTGTAATGGGTACAACTCGCGTCTTCCTGAAGCGACTCATCCAGGCTTGGAGTCCGACCCATTTCTCCACCAACGTCTGTTTCTTGATTCCAACCCAGCCCTTCTTCCCTTTCCGGGGTCTGACACAGACGGACTGATTACAGCCCATTGCGCTAGCAGTCGTCAATAAATAGAGGACAGCTTTGACGTGCGTACATCTTGGAGGGTCGACTGATTATGACGTCATGTCATTGATGACGTCATAAGTGGTGTAGTTTCTATGCGCTGTTCCTTCTACCGATGTGTCCCCTTCCGTTAAAGATTTCAAGTTGTACACACAACAACATGATAATGTTTTTTTCGTACATGTACGCCAAACACGGTTCTACTCGCGTCCAGTCTTCGATACGACGGGAAAATATAAACCATCTTGAAGATGAGGCTTTGACTAACGAAAATGCCTAGTATAGTGATGGGACTGGGAGTGTTCATTATTTATATTACGTGATTAACACTATTTCGACAGGACTGAAATGGACAGTACTGAATGGGTGCCTAACTAACTATGGACCTGCAACGTTTATGATCGGGTATTGACGACCATTTCTCTCCGAAACGTTCATTGTATTCATATGTAGACAAAACATTTCCATTCAATAGCGACTGTGACGACCACAGGAACAAACATCGATGTACTTGAAGAACGGTGCGACATTGGCAAAGACTCGAGCGTTACAGAGCAGAAGGACATGCCTACCACCGATGAGAACTGTCTGTGAGAATTCATTTATGAATTATAGCTTCTGGAGTACTTCTCTGCAGTCAGATGTCCTCGGATGATAACCAGTCTTCTTCCCTGGCCACAAATGCTACCCCATACCATGACGCCTCCTTCATCGAATGGATGAACTTCTTGAACGCACTTTGGCGCCAGTCGCTCTCCTCTGCGTCGAAAGACCTGAACTCTGCCATCGTTTCTGAACAGACTGAACAGACTTTTATCTGTAAAGAGCACAGTCATGTCACTGCCACCGACGTACAGTTCGTGCCCATTGCAGTCTACGTTGACGGTGTAGACGGGTCAAGGCCATTCCACGGAAGGGCCGGTAGGCTCGTATACCAGCCTTACCAAGTCGTCAAAAGACAGGAATGACAGGTCTTTATGGATGATCAACTTCTTTATTGAGACGTTTCGGTATAGATGCTTATACCGTTTTCAAGCATGAGGTAGTAAATGGATACAGCAGCATATGTATAGGGTACATGAGGGCTGCAAGGTTGACAAGATGATTAA